AGGGCTCCCCAAGTGAGGTCGCGCTGGCGTGGGCAGACCTGCCACTCACTGCCCACTCACCCCTGCTTCCTTGGACCCGTCCTCCTGCTAGTTCTGTCCAGAATCTCGGCCTTTCCTCTTGGTGTTCTCGCTCGTTTCCTGGCACGTATCCTCCAGGAGCTTCCTAGGTGTCTTGAAATCTTTGTCTACCTTTACAGCTAGTGACAGAATTTGAGGTGGAAACAACCTTCCCTCCACACATCTGGGGAGGGGGCCGTCTCCTGCCACAGGACTGCCCCCTCCCCGAGTCTCAGGGCACCTGTGCTTCCCTGGGAAGGGGGGGCTCCCCTTGACCCTGGGCTCTAATGCCCCTCGGCACAGCCTTGTTCCTCTGCAGTGCCCTTCCAAACTAGCCCTACTCCCTTTAGGTCTGGAAAATGCCCCCTTTTGGAAATTTTCTTCCCTAGAGTTTTCTCTGTTCTTTAGCTTTTCTCCCATCTAGATATTCTATTATTAATTTCCAAGAATTATTTCTTATTCTGGATTCTTACAGAATCAGGTGTTTTTTAAACTGATGCAGTACTTTTGGTGGCCTCTGAGTTATGGGCTGGAAGTCGTTTGGGCTCGAAGATGTTTCTCCTGGTTCCTGAGTCGCTATTTCACAACCATGACATGAGCTTAGCTGCACCCACCCGAGAGTGAGGCACTGCCCTCAATGGACCTGTTCTCGGGGGGTGGGTTTCTCTGGCTTCCTGCCCGGGAGGTGGGGGGCCTGCCTGCAGGAAGCCCTCCCTTACCCCCCAGCCCACGTCCTCCTGCACCACCCCGCACTCTGGCAGCTTCTCCCTGGAACCTAGGGCCAGGCGTCTCCTGAGCCACGTGACCCTGAAGCTTTGTTTGAAGGCAATTTCAAGAGGAACTTTGCTCTCTGAAAACTCTCTGAACTGTGAACAGCTAGTCTGATCCTTTTTTAAACAAGGTGAGGCCCAGTCTGCCTGGCCTGGAGTGTCACTCAGTGGGAAGGCTGGATGGGTCAGATGTGCCCTCTGTGCTCCCTCGCGCCCCTGCATGAACGGGGCGAGGTCCAGGGTGCCCTGTGTCCGAACTAAAGCCCAACCACCACTTATCATGCAACCTTGGCCAAATTATGGGCCCTCTACAGGTCTTCATTTTCTTACCCAGAAAACAGAGAACTACAGACAAATGGAACAGAGAGCCCAGAAATTAACCCTCACATATATGGCTAACAATGTTTGACAAAGGTGCCAAGACCATTCCATGCGGGAAGGACAGTCTTGCCAGCAAAAGGTGGTGGGAAAAACGGATACGCACATGCAGGAGAAGAACGCTGAACCCCGACCTAACACCATGCGCAAAAATTAAATAGATCAAGGACCTGAAAGGAGAGAGAAAACGCTGAGAAGAAAACACGGGGAAAAGCCTCAGGATACTGACATTTCTCCGAGGACGACATATGAATGGCCAGTAGTATCCAAAAAGGGGCTTCATGACATCAGGGATCCGGAAGCCAAAGCCACGGTGAGATCCCACCTCACACCCAGGATGATTACGCCCCAGACAGTGGCTTCTGGCAAGGACGTGGGGCAGACGTGCTCAAGGGTGAGGAATGGCGCGTGGGGACAGGGCACGAGGGACCAGGTACTGTGGGCTGCGGGGCAGCTGGCCTGCGTCCCTCACGAGGCTTCCCCAGAGGTGCCCTGCCTGCTCCATCCCCAAAGCCTGTGTCTAAGCGGACCCAGGGCTTGGCTTGAGCAACGTGACCAACAGAGAGCCGCCCAGGTCAGTCTTCGCTCCTGTCCTGCCCTCAGACTGTGAGCTGCCTGCTCTGGTTTCTCTCTGTACCTGTAGCACACACCTGAGTGTACCATGTCCATTCCATACTGGTGTGCCCCTGGGGTCAGGCGCTAGGGGAGGCACCCAGGGCAGGTGTCCCTCCATGGTGTGACTGCACTGCCCCCGTGTGGCCAGACGGGAGCTTGCGGGGCTACATGCGGCTCCCAGTGCAGACATCCAGGTGGGAAGGTTTTCTCCCGAACTTCAAGTGGCCTGGCTCCCCACTGGAGCCCCCAAACCTCTTAAGCCCACCTGCCTCCTGGGCCTTCCAGAAACACAGCCACATACCCACCACCGCAAGACACCACAGCTGTGACTTGCTGCCCAGGTTCTCCACTGACCACCACCTCCCAAACTACCCACTCCTGGGGCGCCTGGGTGGCTCAGTGGGTTAAGCCACTGCCTTCAGCTCGGGTCATGATATCAAGGTCCTGGGATCGAGTCCCGTATCGGGCTCTCTGCTAGGCAGGGGGCCTGCTTCCCTCTCTCTCTCTCTGCCTGCCTCTCCATCTACTTGTGATCTCTGTCAAATAAATAAAAAATCTTAAAAAAACAAAAAAAAAAACAAAAAAAAACTACCCACTCCTCACCGCACCTCCACTGACCAGACCCTTGGCTCCCACGGGGAGGGCTGGTGCCGCACACCTGAGTGCACCAGTACCACTCGAGTGTATCTGTACCACACCCAAGTGCACCTGTATGACACACCTGAATATACCCGTGACACACACCTGACTGTACCTGAACCACACACCTGAGTGCACCTGTATGACACATCTGAGCGCACCCGTACCACACACCTGAGAGCATCTATATCCCATACCTGAGTATGTCTACACCACACACTTGGGGTACCTGGGTGGTGCAGCTGGTTAGGAATCCAGCTTATGATCTCAGGGTTATGGGATCAAGCCCTGCTCCAGCTCTGTGCTGAGCACAAGCCTGCATGAACCTCTCTCTCCCTCTGCCCCTCCCCCCGTGTTCTCTTTCTCCCATAATCTAATATGTAAATACTACAAATAGATACTGATAAATCCTAATAAAATAATTCTAAGTATTTAGAACTCTAATAAAATATATTGCAGTAAGATGTATCTTAAAAAGTACATACACACACACACACACATACACGTCCCATACCTGAGCACCTGGGCGCCCGCAGCACACACCTGAGTGCATCCTGCTCACAAACCTGAGTGTATCTGTACTGCACACCAGAGAATGTCGGTAGCGTACCTGACTGTCTACACCACATGCCTGAGTGCATCTCTACCGTGCACTTGGGTTTCTCTTCCCCATGCTGTGAGGCACTGAGAAGCCACACTTTCGTTAGAGGAAGAGCCCCTCCTTCCTAACCAGAGAACATGGGACCCTTACCCATCCCCACTCAGATAAATTCTTTGCTAAAATTCTGCATGCTTTTCCTCCCCCACCCAGACCCAGGAGCGCAGGGCTCATCACACATTTACACAGTTCCCTCTCTGTGGCTGACACAGCGAAGGAACAGGTCTCTCCGAGTCCACTGTGTGGCCTCCATGGAGCTTAAGCACAGCCGTGCACTGGGGCAGGTGCCTCGCCAAGGCCGAGAGCTGCTCTGCGGCCAGCTTGAGACGGGGTCTGGGTGCAGAGAGAAGGGAGGGGCTCCCGCGTGCACAGGGCGGAACGTGGTAAGGCTGATGGGCTGCCCTACAGGCCATCCTCACTCCAAGCTTGAGGTCTTTGCAGGCCTGGGTCAAAGGAGAAAGAAGTGCAGCATCTTCCAAAGGCACCTCTTGTAGCCACAACGTAGGGAAGGGGAACGGGTGGGCAGCAGAGGGGTGCATGGCTTGGGGGTGAGGACATTAGCTGGGAGATACTGAGCCCAAGATGTCTAGGGGAACCCAGAGAGAAGCCACCTGAGCACCTGAATGTGTGCGCCTTGGGTCTGACAGCCTCTTGGGAGTCAGAATTGGGGATGTGGGGTCAGATGTTGTTCACTGAAGTACAGCTTGGGGTCACGTGCTGGTGCTGTGTCAGGAGCACGCTGATGCCTGGAGACGCACCGAACAGGGGCAGAAATCCCCAAAGACACCTCCCCGTGGGCCATCCCCCGCTGAGCTCACAGAGCCGGCCCACGAGCCTCACAGATTCACAGAGTCTTTACCCCCACCCTACATACTGTCGTCAGTGGTGTCCTGACCTCTCTAATCAGATCCCAGGTAAACCCAGACATGGCCGCCTCCTAACCAGCACGGGGGGGGCTGTGCAGACCCCTGTGGGGCATCGATTTCAGAAGTCCCAGACCCACTTATAAATCCCTAAACACCCATCCGAATGTCTTCACAACTGCTAACCCAAATTCTGGTTTGGGGAAGCACACTTAGGAGAGGAAAGAGGAAGAAAACGGCTGAAAGTGATGCCCATGGGAGAGGGTGAAGCGGCTGGCTGTGTGCGACAGGCGAAGCGGATGACCCCTCCGGCTGCCTGCACCCCACCTTCACGCTGGGAAACCACAACTGACAGATCACTGCAGGACAGGCCTCGATCATCGTAAATGACAGAAACCCACACACTTCCAGACCAAATCTGGATTTCTACGTTCAAAGAAGTCTTCATGAAATTTAGTCTAGCTCCTGTCCCGAAGGACACGGTACCCTTGGGTTTCCCTTCAGAGGAGTCAGGTGGGCACCCAGAGGGCGTCCTGGCCCCCGTGCGCTCCCATGTGCGCGCACCTGAGGCAGACCGGGACGGGGGCACATCTGCTTTATTGCTTATGCTGCATATTCAAACAAGTACAGTAAACCCCGTCTTAAAGACGTAAGGCACACGAAAGCCTTTGTGCAGCTCCGGATTAGTTTTAAGTTCCTACTGGCTAATGACAGTATTGCCCCTATGGACCTGGAGCCGTCTGGCAATGACATGATGAAGTCTTCACACGCAGGATCCCTGGAACATCGTATCTTACCTCATGGCACAGCCGAAAGCCTCAGTCAAATGTGTGTATGTGAATCACGATTACAACCACTGTTACATTTGCAAAAACCTTCCCAGCTTATCCACATATGTGCAGTCGGGTCCCCACATGTTAATTATACAAAATCTAAAGGAAGAGGAACAGTATCTTGCTGCATCTGTGTCCTGTTTCCTTCGAGGGAGATCTGGCATTTTTAGTCTTCCTTCCGCGAGTCCTGCCGCTATCTGCGAAGGCCAGGGTTACACGATGCTGAAGACCATGGACAGGTACTGCTCATAGGACACCTGAATCCAGCCGTCCTGATCCGTATCGTAGCGCCGGAATATATCGGTCAGCCTCTGGGGAGCGAGACAGGCAGTTAGATCGCGGCACGTATGAAAGAGAACGAAGAAAATGTACCTGGCAAGAAGACGTTTGGGAACGGAAGTCACCCATGTCTCCAGACCCCCAAGCCCTGATGGAGAGCTGGGCAGGAAGGCATGGGTGGGTAACCCTGAGCCGCCTCAGGCCTGCCCACCAGGAGGGCGCTGCGGCCTGGTGGCACAGCAGGGGGAGGGAGGATGAACGCGGGAAGCTGGGTAAGAGGTCAGGGGGTGGGCTGTAGCCCCAACTCAACAACACACCACAGCCCCAGTCCTGGTTTCCCAAGTGGTCCAGTGCTGAGCCTGGGTCCTCCCTCTACTCTAAGACCAACCTCGTGGGGGCTCTTCCTCGAATGCTCACCACCGCTCTGGCCACGTGCCACTGAGGACACAGGGAAACCAGCCCGGACTTGGGCCCCTCCCTTACACGCAGCAGGTGAAGGCCCAGACACAGACCGTGGGAGGTAGGTCTTGTCCCGGCCTCAGGGTCCCTCCCGGCCACCCCACCCATCCAGAAGGCTCTGCTTTAGTCTGTTCACAAGCTCGATCCCCCCACAGCAGGTCAGGGGCAGAGGGAAGAACCCTGCACCCAACAGCAGGGACAGCCAGATGAGGGCCGCCCCAGCTGAGGGGCACCAGGCAAGCACAGCAGGCCCGAGACTCCTGTGTGACAAAAGGCAGCAGAATACAATTCCTCAGGACAGGAGCGGACAACAGTGCCCGGTTCACGGTGAGAGCAGGCTGGAGCCCGGCCCTCCAGCAGCAGGTGAGACAGGGTGCCTGACCCAGCCGACCGTCTGCTTGGGCGTCAGCCGGGCCCTCCCAGCGCACGTGAGACACTCCCGTCGCACCAACTACAAAAACACCCGCGGCAGGGAACACCCCGGCGGTGGCGGCGGCAGGAACTCCAGCTGAAAGAACGACGGGCAATTCTTCTTCGCACTTCAGTTGTATTTTCCTACAGTTTCTACAGATTTTCATGTTCTTTTGCAAAATATCGTTTCTTTTTGTAGAAAAATAGACGAAGGAAAATATTTTGGGGGGTGTTTTATTGTGGCCTGCAGCTTTTCTCTGTCCTGTGTTGAGGGTCACTCGGGAAGGGTGGGTGGACCAGGGACCAGCAGGCAGGCCTCCGGCTCAGCACGGAACCCCCCGGCCGTGGCTGCTGCCTGCCAGACACCCTCCTGGAGGGGCCGATCCTCGGCCTGGAGGTGTGCGCAGGCACCAGGCAAGCTTCTCGTGGGACTCAGATGGGCTTACCTCAGTTACCGAAAGTCTACACTCGACGACCTCGGCTTGAGAAGAAATGTAAGGATCAGGTGTTTCCTCAGGGACACAACCTCAAATAAAAACTCTAACCCGAGTGCACCTCTGACGCAGGCAACGAGACTTCCACGCCGCAGCTTCTCCTCAAGTGTTCAGACCCCACTGCCAGTGGGGTGGGATGAGACCGGCAAGGCTCTCCCCATTTCCGGAGCCGAAGCTCGGATGTTAACAGACCTGGCTCTCCGGCGAGGCCTGGAACAGCAGGGGCCGGGCTGTTCCCAGACTCACGGTACTTAGCTGGCCACAGAAAGTTCACTTTCACTGACCTATTTCACTTTCACTCTCATGGGAAAAAATCCCGAGGAAGTTTCTCAGAATTCCAAATTATATTAAAAAATCTCAGGCTATTCACATCTCTCTGGGGACTCGAAAGCTGACAAGATATCACCCCAACCTGGATTCGAAGATGGAATCTGTGTGACAGTAAGGGCTTGGGGTGTTAGGGTCACAGAGGGATGACATCAAACTGTCCGCCAGCGGGTAACTGCTGAGTCTGAGGGACGGGCACACCAGTTAGTCCTACTTCAGTGTTTTTTTTTTTTAAATCTGTCACAATAAAAATCTGTCACAATAAAAATCTGTCACAATAAAAATCCGTCACAATAAAAATCTGTCACAATAAAAACCTGGAAAGCCATCTAAGAGCTTATCAGTTCACTGCATTTCTAAGCCTAACTCTGTGTAACCCGGATCCCGACCTAGACACAGGAGCGGGGGCCTACGTGGGCCCAGTGGCGCAGGTTCGATCAACCCTGCCCTTGTCTCTGGGAGGGGTGCTCGTGCCAGCAAGTGCACCGAGCTCCCGCAGGTACAGAAGAAAGACTGCGGGAGGGAAATGGCGGTGCTGGGGTCAGCGGGACCCGTGATCTCCCATCCTTGGGGCTCCCCTCACACAAAAAGGCAGGGCACAGTCAACATTTCGACAGAAAATTGACCCATTTTCTCGGAATGAAAACACAGCAAAAATACCAGAGTATACACGCAAATAGCCCACTCGATTTAGAAAACGTGACCTCATCGGAAGGGACCTTGAACACAGGGTTGGGAGATGATCCCTGGAGCAGTCGAAACCCACGTAACTACTAACAGCTTTCCGTGGACCGGGAGCCTTATCGCTAACAGACTAATGTCAATGAACACTTGTTTTGTGCGTTGTGTGTATTATGTACGGATTCTCACAACAAAGTAAGCTAGAGAAAAGAAAATGTTATTCAGAAAATTGTAAGGAAACACACGTTCGGCACTATGCCACACTTACCGGAAAAAGTCTGCCTATGAATGACTGTGTGGTTGGGCCGTACGTTGTTCAGGGTCAGCGGCACTTCCACGGGGAGAAAGAACCCTACTGGCCACAGCGCCCGGAACAGAGTAGCAACTCCTCCGCCGACGGGACTAACCTGCACGCCGTCCGGTAGCAGACGCCACTCCCTTCAGCTGCTACCGCACAATGGCACTCTGCCCTCTCCCTCTGCTTCCGTGGCTACGCCCCGCCTGCCGCACCAGCCAGCGCACGGTGAGCCCCCACGGAGCCCCGTTACCTGCAAGACGATGCATCCCTGGATGAAGTCGTCAAAGGCGATCTGCCCCCGTCCTTGTCTGTCAAACTTGCGAATGAGGATGTCGTGAAACTGGTCAGACAGCCGGTACCCTTGAAGAGGAGAATGAGGATGAATGGAGGGCCAGGAGAGTGGACGCTCCCGTCACCCCCACGTCCTCCTTCCGACAGGCCCCACAGCCTATGACATCAGCAGACGACAAACGATTGAGGCAGGGGTGGGAGACACGAGGCGCAAACTCGTTCACATGCCCTCTGGAACCACGCTCCCCATCCGCAGTCCCGTGGACGGCCGGCGGGAAGACACCCCCTCTTCCTGGAAGGCGGAGTACTCCCCGGGGGCCAGCGCTTGCAGGCGCCGCAGGTCACAGCTGTGAGCTCACTCGTTTGCGTCACGTATACTCACCCCACAGCGCTGCACCCCAAACACCATCCCGCAGGGCAGCCCGGCTTCCTTGTGAAGTTTTCATTTCATAGACAGTTTCATTTTACATGTGAAAGAATGTAGCGCTGAAGGCTTCCAAATAAACACAATGTAAACTCAGGGAAGGAGCTGACCCACCGGCCCGCACGCCCTCTACGAATCAGCAGAGGCATCCGGGAGGGAAAGACCACCAGGAGCCAGGCAGCCTCCCGAAGTTCACAACCACTCAAGGGCCATCGAATGTTATGACAAAGAGTCACTGATTCCACCTTCAACTTACTGAGTGTCTTGAAAAGGTCACAGCAGGGAGGTGGTTCTGAAGACACGGGGACACAGTGGCCACTCACCTGTGGGACACCCCTCGGGGCCACTCTAAACAAGGACACCTACTTCCTTCCCTCCTAGTTCCACTACCTGTGTGACTGTGGTGTCCTTACTTATTCAGGAGACAAGATCCCGGGGCCAAAATATTTTTACTGCTTTTCCATCCTGTTGGAATCTTTGCGAGGACACATGTACACCTATTATCTGAGTGAATTTCACAGTTAATGATTGCAGAAATACTTATTTTTCTAAGAAAGAGACTCAAACATGCACACACAGGACAGTCCCTTCCGGAGTGGTCAGCATACTCTGTGCATCTGTGACTTAAATCCATCCTCCCTGCCAGTGAGAAGACAGGATCCCTGACTCAAAAAAAAGAAAGGCAGCAGGTCCGGGATGGGGGTCCCCTGTGGACAGGTAAGGAAGCGGCCCAGGCTGGTAAGGGCGGAGCTCATCCGGGTGGAGAGAGCAGACACCAGCCATCGCTGCGGCGTCTCCGGCCCAGACGTAACCCTACAGGATGGACCTCCACAATCCCTGCAGACCACAGAAGCAACTTCTATCATCCCTGGGATCAGCTTCCGACTCCCCTGGTCCTCAGTATCACTGTAGCGAGAACCAGACCAACCCAAGTCAGACTAGAAAAATGAACGATGAAGAGAGACATTTACATGAGAAGCAAAATCTTCTCTAAGAGTTTCCATCAGTGAAAATCCATGTCACGATAACCCTAGCCCTCATAAATTAAGAGGAGGTGCCCTCTGGAAATGCAAATCAGAACCCCAAGAAAGTGGCTCACGTGTCAGGATGGCTGTGATCGGAAAGACTGAAACACCATACGCTGGCAAGAGTGTGGAGAAGAGAGAGCCCCATGCACGGTGGGAACCCAGATGGGCACAGCCAGCCCTGGACACAGTACAGGCCCTCCTCAGAAAGCCAGCAACAGAGCCGCCACGGATCCAGTTATCCCGCTACTGGGATTTACCCCAAGAAAACGAACACACTGACTCGAAAAGGCATCTGCGCCCCTGGTTCACCGCAGCACTGCCTCCAGCAGCCAGGGTACAGACGCAGCCCGCGGGACGACGGCCTGAGGGACGGAGACCTTGCCGCTGGCGGCGATATGGAAGGACCTGAGTGCGTTACACTAAATGAACTAAGAGAGAGACATATACCAGATGATCTCACTTATGTGCGGAACCTAAAAATAAAAAAAAGAGCAAATGGAACAGAACCAGACCTGTAAGTACAGAGATCCACCGGTGGCCAGAGAGGAGGGTGGGGGCAGGTGAAGCAGGTGAAGGGGACTGAGAAGCGCCAGTTTCAGATTGTGAAATAAGTCCGGGAGGAAAAGTACAGCACAGGGACAGACTCGGTAACGCTGCGGGAGCGCCGTACGGTGACAGACGGCGACGGCACAAGCCGCAGCGAGGGCTGAGTTATGCACCTAAAACTGACGTAACTTACGTCAACTGCGCTTCAGTTAAATGGAAAAAAAAAAAAAAAAAAGGCAGTGCCCCCCGTATGCTGCTCCCCCAGCCTGTGACCCTGGTCAGGACTGGCCCTGTCAGCCTGGACGTGCAGGCACAGAGCCACACCCTGAGCTTAGGAGAGCAAGGTTCTCTCCTGACAACTAACAAGCCTAGGAAGGGGAGACATCAGAGTGGCCCTGATGATCCCGCGAGTCACCAACCGCCTACTCCCAGCACCCCGAAATGACGGCACACCTTCCCAAGCCCAGACGCTAACCAGTGACCTCTCTGCAGCAAGGGGCAGACCTGGAACGGGGCATCAGCCCACGTCTACAAGCAGCCGACGGCATGAAAAGGCTGGGGGCTGCCCGCGGGCCTGCTGGGTCCTGGTGCAGACGCACGGCTCATTTTTAAGGTGGGTCCGAGGCACTGACGCGGTGAGCAAACAACCACACATGGCAGGGATGCGAGTAAAGCGTGTTGGGGGGACACAGCATGGGCTTCGCACTCCTTGGCCCGCAACGGAGGACAAAGCAAACGTAGCACCAGGCCGGTAACGGCTGCGAGGCGCGGCGACCGGATGCAGGGCCGTCCACTTTGGTAACGTTTCCATCAGAACACACCGCGCTGGCCTAGCGGTTGCCAGAGCTTACACGGAGGAGGGGGGCTGCCCGTGCCTCACCTTCCCACAGCGGGGACTGCGCTGCGTGGGGGCAAACGCCTCACGCGCTTCCTTCCTTCAGCTCTCTGCACCTGGCGCTCGGGGCCCACGCGCCCTGAGTCTAGAGAAGGGATACGGGAGCTCCCGCAGCCAGCGTGTGGCCTGTGAGAGTCACCCGGTGCGGCCAGGGCTGAGCAGGAATCTTCGCTTCAGTTCCTACTGAAAATCTGCTCCCATTACTAGCGTGGAAAGGATAACAATGTCCCTTTTGACGGAAGGCCTCAGAGACCGAGAGCCGGTCCCAGGAAGAGACTGGTTAGAACGGATGGAACGCGGTAGCAGAGTATTTACTTTCTCCAGAAAATGTCTGGAAGTCAGGGAAGAGCCCACGTCAACCAGCCGGGGGAAGCTGGCCAGCTCCTGACCACGAGGGACTGCCCCATGACCTCCACGGCCCTGAAGCCGCAGCAGGGACTCAGGAGGCCAGAGAGGCCGGGGCACTGCCCACCTCAGAGCTCCCGCCAGAAGCTCTAAGGACCCAGTGGGCCACGGGCACAAAGGAAAGAGAGGGCTCTGGGCCTGACAACGTTAGTGCCATCCGTGTTCCCTGAAACCTGAGGTCACTTGTCTGTGTAATTCACAGGACCCAGGTTCCGCCCAAGCTGTTCTCGGCCCAGCCAGGCCTCCAGCTCCTTCCATCCCTTCTGTACAGCCCTATCGTCCCCCAGCCTAAGGGCAGAGCAAAGTCAGCTGCGTTCCCAGTCCCAGAGCAGAGAACCTGAGGTCAAGTCCTGCCCTAACCCTGACCCCCAGCTAGTGTGCGATGTGAGAACACAAGCTTCCTATGGAGTGCCAGAGCCACTCACTGAACACCAGAGGATTCCTGAGGCAGGAAAGGAAAGAGAAAGAGAAGACTACAGAGTGCATGCCCCACGGAAAAATGGGAGACGGGCAGAAGTTAACAACATGTTAACAGAAGAACTAAGATGTACTTCGTATTATTAAAACTCAAAATACCTGGAAGTTCATTAGTACATTATAATAACAACGTAGTATGTTAGAGAAAAAAATAGGGCCCTATAAACTAACTTGCCTCGTTTTTTCTAAGAGGTATTCCTAAGCAGTCTTTAAACAAAATGTAGCAGGAGTTTTGTAATAGGGCCCCGGTAAAGAGGGCTGAGTGAGATCATCCCAAACACGCCAGAATTGGGGTGTAATTCCCACGAGCCTTGGACAAGTCCTCCAAGTCTGCTTCCTCTCCACACAGAGAACCCCAGCCTTCTCTCGGACCCATGCACCAGCATCAGAGGCCCGCTGACCCACTCTGGAAAGGCTGTGCAGACACTGCTGGTGACACAGCACACGCGGGGGCACACGCACTTGAGAATGAGAGCTGGCACGCCCACCAACGCTGTGCCCGAGGCAGCAGCCGGCACTGCCGCTTACGGAATCATGTCTCACACGTACGGACGGTCTTGCCGTGTCTCGTGACGTGTCACAAATAAGCTGCCTGAGTTTATTGTCACTTATTCACATGAAAGTTGTTTCCAAAGCCACCACATTCTCAATGTACGTGTCCCATCACTCCATTTCACAAACGATAAATGACTGCATAGCTCGTATCTCATTTTGGATGGGGAAAAAAAAAAGCACATAAGGTCTCCATGTCAAATATAAGCCTTCATGATACAAACAATATCAAAGTATAAATCTGAATGTCAACAAAAATTTCCTAGTTAAAAACACCAGTAAAGTGGGCGCCTGGGTGGCTCAGAGGGTTAAGCCTCCTACTCCTGATTTCAGCTCAGATCTTGATTTCAGGATCTCAGGGTGCTGGGCTGGATCCCCAAGTCAGTCTCCGCACTGGGCATGGAGCCTGCTTAAGAGTCTCTCTCTCCCTCTCCCTCTGCCCTCCCCCGACTTTCAAAAAAAAAGCAGTAAACTGAACAAAGTACAAACACAGTAATGGCCCCAAATGACCTCCAAAATGAAATCTGCTACACAATCGAGACAAGTGAATTACCAAAACCTGAGAGTGCTTGCTTGAGCTCGTTCTTGTCGATCATCCCGGAGTTGTCCCTGTCATAGGTGCGGAAGACGTTTTGCCAATCTGTGATGTACTTCCAGACGCCTGTGAACTCACTGAAGTTCACGCCGGCCTTGTTCTCCCGGTCAAACATGGCTGAGACAGAAAGAAGGTGAGTGGTACGCAGCCGCCGGCCTCTCAAGGTTGGTCGGCCGGGAGCTCAGTGCCCACACGGCCTCCCCCGCGCTTCCCTTGGGCCAGCCCCGTGCTCAGCCAGCGGACGCCCGCGTGCTGCTAAGAACGCTCCCCTGCCCAACGGGAGGGCCGGGCCTCCTCTGCCAGGTGGTTACCCAGCCACAGCCCCCAACTTGCATCCCGTAGTGGCGAGGCCCACGGTCAAGAGGAACACAGTGGCGGAGCCCCGAGACACAAAATGCTCGACAGGGAAGTAGCCTCCCCCGACGCACAATGCCCAGAGGACGCTCTTGCTTTGTCAGAGGAACTGGGGCTTCGGGGTGAAGCGGGCGGCTCTGCCCTCCCAGCACCTTGTTTAGTTCCTTCCCTTCTCCAAGAGACCTACGACCACCGTGCAGGCCCGCTCCACCGAGAAACAGACTCCACTGGCTTTACATTCTGGGTTTTCTTTCAGTAAGACCCGCTTTTCGTTAAAAAGATCACCCTGGGGGCGCCTGGATGGCTCGGTCGGTTAAGCCTCCGAGTCCTGACTCCAGCCCGGGTCATGATCTCAGGGTCGTGGGATCCAGCCGCGCTGGGCTCTGCGCCTGGCAGGGAGTCTCCTTCTCTCCTTCTCGCCCTCTCCCAAATACATACACATATACGTACATAAATAAATACATTTTGAAAAAGAAAAAAAAATGAGCCTAAACCAGGTCCAAATATGAAAGAACCTGTAACTGCATTTACATAAAATGGCAAAATGGCTTAAACATGTGTAAAAATTCCATCTGTACTCCTGCTGCCAAGAAAATGACAAATCCCTTGGTCTCTCTTCACGGGGGAAGCCAGCAGAAAAACGAAACAGGAGCGGTCCCGGCTGCTCAGAAGCACACCGTAATTCCGTGCAGGCTCACATAAGGGAAACTCCGGTCGGAAACCGAGCACCGCTGTTTCCGCCAGTCAACCACTGTGCAAGATAGGGACGGTGTATGACACGCGCTGGTGCAGTGTGAACACGGGCCCTTCAGAACCGGGAGCTCAAGCGCTCAGCTGGGAGGGCAGGGCAAGGGGCCATGGCAGGACAGGGGTCTGCCTGCACCTTTACTTACAGATGATTGACCTGACAGTCACGGGGTTAAATGGAGTCCATGTGCCTGAAAATAAATGACAGGAAAGACAGTCAGTGAAAACCGTTTTCACAGCGATCTCTAAGATTCCAACCTGGAACGGCAGCAGCTACCGACAGTCACCTGCTACTCAGGGAGACCTGGGCACACGGTTCTCAGCAGGGACGCTGTCCCCAGGGGACGTTTCTGGTCGCCATGACCACTGGGGGCTGTAAGCGTGTCCTTGCTGGCATCCCATCCGGCGCTGTGCAGGGGTGCCTCAGGCCCCAACAGACATACACGCAGAGCTGCTGATAATGATACGAGGCCAGAGGCTCGCTCTTGTTTGCTACATGAACAAGATCCGGTTGTACAGTATTTTTCCCAGCGCGGATCCCAACAAGAGGCCTGAACTCGCGACCCTGAAGATCAAGACCAGAGCTGAGCTCAAGCGTCGGACACAAGCAACCAAGCCACCCAGGCGCCCCGGTTTTACTGCACTTTAACACGCACGCTGTCTTCTAGGACTGCGGCCGGCAGGTAGGTGAGCAGCTTTCTCAAAAACCCACCATAAAACGCCTTAAAAACTGTCTCCTGAAACGAGCACGTGGTGTCCGCCGACAGCACGAGTCACCTCAGCGTGACAGCAGAGATGTCGTCAGGTGCCTGTTGCGAGGGGCCTGCTAGGTCTGACGGAACCATGTGCCGACGGACAACGAAATGTCCAGCAGATACAAATCTGTTTTCAGAGCGAGTCATACCATCACCAATTTCTAGACTAAAAACAAAGTACAGAAATGTTTTTAATGTGGGGGGAAAGCGGGGCGCCTGGGTGGCTCAGTGGGTTAAGCTTCTGCCTTGGGCTCAGGTCATGGTCCCAGGGTCCGGGGATCGAGCCCCGTATCGGGCTCTCTGCTCAGCAGGGAGCCTGCTTCCTCCTCTCTCTGCCTGCTGCTCTGTCGACCTGTGATCTCTGTCTGTCCAATAAATAAACAAAATCTTAAAAAAAAAAACGTGGGGGGAAAGCAGTGTCTCTCCCCACGTCCACTGATGTAAACGCTCATGTTTCCTTCCACATATCGAACAGTTTTCATGCCCCCTCCCCTCGCCCCCGACAGAGACCCATGCCCTGACCGCGCCTGAAGCGGCTTTGGCTCCGGCGTGCGGCCTCCCCGGGTGCGGGTGGGCGGGCAGGTCTGCGGGGCGGCCCCTGGCGCCCACCACACCGGGCTTCCCGCCGCAGCCGCGCCCGCTCCACTCGGGGCTTCTCTGCTCCTCGAATGTGCCTCCCCTTAGCTCCCCGCCAGCCGCAGGAGCGCCGTGGCCCTGGGACCTTCCCTGAGTGCCCCCGTGAGGAATGTCGTCCCCGAGGGCAGGGCCACCCCCGCGCCGTAACCGGCGCACCCGCGGGATGGAGCGGCGTCCGCAGGCTCACGCCGGCTGTGCTGCTCTTGGGGCACCGGCCCGCACGTGAAGCTCCCAGGACAGCCGCCACCGACGACGGCATGACGCAGAACCCGACGGGCAGGAAAATTCTAAGCACGCAGAGGGCCCCTTCGTCGCCGTTTGCTTTTCGCTCCTTCCCACAGAGCCTGCGAGCACCAAACCGCGACTCCGCGGGACACAGCCTGGCGCTGAGCCTCAGGAGCCCGGAGCACCTGCTGGAGGCTCTCCCCGGCCCTCCGCCCCCGTCTCCCCTCCGCCCGACACAGGCTGCCGAGCCCTCGGCGAGGGGAGGCGAGGGACGCCCCGCAGCCTGCCCGACTGCGAGCAGAGGCATCAGGGGCCATGTCTGCGAACGCCGCGGCCGCAGATGTTTGAAACAAAAGCGACACAAGCGCCACAGTCCAGTACCGCGCAGACCCGAGCATGTGGTACTGAGGGCCCGGTGCCACCTCGACAGGCCCGCGGGAGCGCCCAGAGAAGGGGCATCCCTGAGGTGACCCAGGGGAACCGGCGCCTGCGCCGGAGGATTCTGAGGACGGCAGGGGTCCCGGGCTCAGGAGAGCAGCAGGTCATCCCGCGCCGCGTCCGGACGCAGAGAGGCTCCCTCTAGCACGACACCCACAGGTGTGCCGCAGGGCTGCCCTGCGAGGCTCGCGGAGGCCGGCCCCTCCGCGCACCCTTCTTGTCACCCACACAGGGCTGGACTCTCCAGGGAAACCAAGGGGTGACAAGAGCCAACAGTTAAGGACTGGCCATCGCGGCCTGTTCTCACGGGAGCCCAACGACTCGCAGTGACGCGGATACACCGCAACGTGGGGACAAGTCGTATGTCCTGTGCGGTGCGCCTCAGATGCGCCTGAGTCGGCCGGGGAACCCGAGTCGTCTGGAGAAGAGTGTTCTGGAAGAAAGCACGGCACAGTGCTAACACAGCTCCCTGAGAACAGGGCACACTATACACGGAGACGTTTTCCACAAGCCCTGCACCCCCAGTGACCCTCTAGCCCGGATTTTCTGGACCATCCCTAGTTTCAAACATTCCTGTCTGCTCTTCCCAGACACGAACGTGGTTGGATGTCAGAACCGCTCGTTTGGAAAAAGTTCTCGTCAGATTTCTACTTAGGGGTATGTGATTCCTGTACCTACAAGTCCTGCTTTAATTTCATCTCCAAGAGCTAAAGAAAACAGAGGCCCGCCTGTCCGTGCAAATCTCGTACACTGTTTTCGCCCACGCCCTGAGAACGGTGCCGCAGCTCTAAGGGGCGACCCTAAGCAAATGGCGACCGCCGAGGGAACCATCTGTAGCTGCTGAGGACGAGACCGTCCCCACCAGAAAGCACTACCGCTTCCCCTCTTTACCCTCAAGCACACAAATGCCTGCCGGACTCCCCATTCTCAAGGGGAAAAGCCCATTCCGCTCTGTGGTAACGTAGTCTTCCACCCTCCAAAGAGTTTGTTCTTGAAATTATGTCCTGTTAACCACAAGCGTAAACAGTGGGTTCAGTGAGTGGCTGAGGGTTACGACTTCATGACACCCAACATTTCCACAACTGAGATACCGAACTACTGGAAATCTTTCGGGACAAATAAATAAATAATTAAATAAATAAAATTTTAAAATAAATAAAAAATAAAAATCAGACTTTTTAAAACATCATCACTGGTGATGTCTTTCCACTTTACTTCATCAGACCAGGAACTCCCAGCCTTGCTGGGCTTTTCTGCCAACAGAGGTGTGGCAAGTGCCGCAGGCTTGGGCACAGGGCACTGGCACTCGGTGCACAGAATCTGCAAGACTCTGGTTCAGCAAAACTCCACACTTCTCCAGTTTTCTTCAACGACAGCTTCAAAGAGCACGACTAGAAACATGGCCTTTCCGAAAAGCAATCTAAATCCTGACCATCAGCATTAAAGATGCCTGTACCCTTGATGTGATATGTGTGAGCTCTAGAAACTGGTTCTGTGAAATCTGGGGCCAAATCACTACAGTATTTACATTAATGAAAACGAGAAACAATCTAGGGGACGATTAGTGAAACACCATAAGCTCAGTCCGGGCGGACACACTGCCTCCCGGTTCTGTACGTGGCAGATGCGGGATCCAGTGGACTGGGGCTTGGCTCAAGGGGGAAAAGGATCTAGACTTCCAGTCTTCCGGTCTTTACACCCAGAGAAATTGGGGCCAGAAGTGCAATGCTGCAATGCACCCAAGGTTACAGAGTAACCTGTCAGCAAAGCCAAGTCCATCAAGTCCTAACTCTCTCTTGTTCCCATCTGGAAGTCTGGCGGGGCGTGTTTCCGGAGAGAGCAGAGAGGTCAGGCTGTCCTCGGCGTCGAGAACGCCCTCAGCTCCATGACTCGTGAGGACTCCAGTGCTCAGCTGTTACAGAGAAAGGACAGAGTAAACTCCACAGGGAAAAGGCACCGGGAGGAGTCCCGTGGTCACCAGTGCTGTCCAGGATGTGCTTCTTCCGCCAGCTCCGAGTTGTAAGGACACATGCCCAGTCACGGCCACCAGGGAAGCTCCCGAGTCTGGAGTCCAGGCTCTCGCGTGGGAGTCCCTCGTGGAAGCTCCAGAGACCCAGAGGGAAAGCAGCTGTTTGCCGTAAGTCAGACTGTTAGTATCGACTCCCAGGCAAGTGGCTGTCGCACAGCTCCAGGCCGCGAGTGGACAAAACACGCTTCTCAGTCTGCGCGTCCAGGACGCAGCCAGCCCTCAAAGTCCCTCCTGGGAAGCAGCAGGTTGTGAACAACGTGGGCCTGCTGAGCGGCACTTCCCCACGCACAGGCAGAAGGGAGCTGAGCGGGCATCGCTAACTGCCCCAGCGGCACACGCAGCAGCAAGCACCCTCGGCCGCAACACCGGGCCTGTGGGGCGGGAGCAGTGCCGGGACCGGAAGGCCGGTCTGCAGGGAACTGTCTGCTTATACGGTCTGATATCCCACCATTTCTTAATACAGAATCCCCAGGACAGCTGGAACTCTATTCTGATAAAAATATCTTAAAGACAATATATGAACTATTATCTTTTTTTTTTAAGATTTTATTTATTATTTATTTGACAGACAGAGATCACAAGTAGACAGAGAGGCAGAGAGAGGGGAAAGCAGGGTCCCTGCTGAGCAGAGAGCCCAATGTGGGGCTCGATCCCAGGACCCTGGGATCATGACCTGAGCCAAAGGCAGAGGCTTAACCCACTGAGCCACCCAGGCGCCCCAATGAACTATTATCTTTTAAAGTACAGGTATAAAGAATGTCTCCACAAAAGTACCTACATAGGTTATATGAAGGCAAACCTGCAGAGGGACAAAAAAAAAGAAGCTTGAGCAAAATTAAATCCCTGCAATTCCAAAAAAGAGCATGCAAGGCTTAAAAAAAAAAAAAGTTACCAAACTGAGATAGTTTATGGCATGTGCTTCCAACAGAAGGCAAGAGAACAGTCTTCTTCTGTCTTTCTTCATACCTATTAACCACACACCCCCGAGAGCAGTTTCAGAAGCTTTCCTGTGAAACAAGTCTTATAAAGGACTCAGTGTGCGGGACCCACAAGGACCCTTTCGGAGAGGTTTCAATGACATTTCAGCGGAGAGCACACCAGCACAGACTTAATTCAAGTGACAAACCAGGGAGGTCTGAAACTTCAGTTTTGCCACCAGTAACACACTAAGTAAAGCAACGTCCTGAAATAGCCTAATATTCCAGGGCGAATATGAAAACAGAAGCCCATTCCTGGGAGAAAAATTCGAAGTCAAAATAACGTCAATTGCATCAGCTCCCGGAGTGAAGAGGACAAAGACGGGCCCATCTGGTGGCTGGTTTCTGTGCACAGACCACACCTGCACACAGGAGCCCGGCCTGGCCTTCCGTCTGGAAGCGGACAGTCTAGTGGCCAGAGGCAGCTACAGCGGTGGCCACACGGAGCAGACTGCAGAGTGTCAAGGACAAGGCACAATGCCATAGCAGTTCAGCAGCCGGGGCAGGCACATGCCTGCAGGCAGAAAACCTGGAACTCGGGATGGACACGGCTCCAGCTCACACCAACAAAAGGCAGGCCCTCCGTGTGGAGGGAGTACAGAACCCATGCAAGGGGTGCACACCCCATGGACACAGGTGGGAAGACACTGGGGCTCAGCGGGCTCCACAGAGCCTGGGAGAAGCCAGCCCCCAGCACGACTCGAGCGGAAGGGCCGAGGGTGCCAGCAACACTCGTCTGCGTTTAGATCCCGGCCCTACAGCTCGGGAGCCAGAGGGGTAGCGCGGCCAACACGACCACCCACTCTGTGAATCTGCAGCCCTGATGACACGCTTTACTGCAGAGAGAACATGGTGAAATGTATAAACTAGAGCAAAATGAAGTAAATTTTAATTACGCTGGATGGGAAAAGAAAAGCAGGAGGATAAGAAACTAAGAGCGCTAAGACCAGGTCGGTGAAAGTGACCTCTCAAACTCCTATATTCATGCTAGTGGCCACCGATTTAAATTTCTTAGCAGCTAATCTGAAGAGGAAAATGTAATTGTTAAAAGATTCAGGGTTAAGAAAACATATAAACAAAACACGTCAAAACGGCCACCACGATGCCTAGAACAGGAGAGGCCTCATGCTCCCCAGGAGAAGCGAGACGGCCGCGTCCCGGGCAGAGGGCGTGCTGGCTGCGGCGCCGCCTCTCGCTCAGGTTAGCGTGGCCGCCTGCTTCAGGCCAGTTCTCACGTGCCTCCAACAACAGCCGGGGGAGTCCCACTGGGCCCTCGACACAGGTGTCTGCAGAGGCCACTGAGACAGTCCAACCAACTGGCCGGTTGCATCAACCAGGCACTGACTTCCAAGTACCTCAGCACCAGGGAACAAAACATCTCTTGGCAACTGTCAACATTCCCTCTTTCAAACAGGTTCCTGCTGGATATTTAGTAGGAGCTGAGCTCAAGATTATGCTCTGACGGAGTCAAGGCCCATTCGCTTTCACCACCAGCTCCAGAACTAAGGGCAGTACCGACAGGCTTGAGTGAAAACCCAGGAGCCTGACCCGACAGGTCAGACTCCACACCCCAGAGCTCCAACAGCAATGCTGACGCGAGATGAGGTTTGTCAAGTGCCCAGCACAGGGCCCACCTCAATGGGCGCTTTAGTAAGGGGAACTACTGTCACCACCACCCCCGGAGCTGGCATCCTGGGGTCACAGGCCAGTCACTACTACATGCTTAGCTGACGCCACTGAGCCCTGCTACGTGCCAGGCACTGTACTGGGACTCTGTGCACTTTTTCTCCATCCTCCACCCAGAAAGGTCAAGTCCTTGCCCAAGGTCATATTCCTAGAACTGGCAGAGCCAGGACTGAAATCCAGACAGGAACCTCCGGGGTGGACACATCAGGCCAATGAGGTCAGAGTCTGACCATCACCCCAGTGGAGGTTTCACACAAACCCCAAAGCGGGTGGCGCTCTCAGAACTTCAAGCGAACAGACAACAGAATGTCCAAATGGGTCATGGAGGAGAACTCAGAGAAGCATGACCCTGAGGGCACTCTCAGCACAGGGCCCGCCCTCTTTAACATACGATGTGAAGACGTCTGTTTGGTCAACGATTAGAGTATTTTTTTTTGTTTTTTGAGAGAGAAAGAGTGCGCACACGTGTGGGGGTGGGGGGGCTCGACCTCACTGCTCTGAGATCATGACCTCAGCCGAAATCAAGAGTCAGACATTTAACAGACTGACACACCCAGGCACCCAACACTTAGAAAGTTATTTTTTTTAAGATTTTATTTATTTGACAAGGAGAGAGACACACAGAGACACACACACACACACACAGAAAGAACAGAAGCAGGGGGAGTGGGAGAGGGAGAAGCAGGCTTCCCGCTGAGCAGGGAGCCCAACGCAGGGGCTCGATCGCAGGACCCTGGGATCCTGACCTGAGCCAAAGGCTGACGCTCAACGACGGAGCCACGGAGACGCCCCAACACTTAGAAAGTTTTAAGCCACATCTGCCAGATCGTAGCCTGCTGGGTTCCAGCCTGTTTGACATCTTTCTAGAAACCCCATCTTCTATCCTCTAAGTGTACCTGCAGCCCTGGAGACACGGACAACGGAAAGGGGTGAGTAGCAAGAGAAGAATGAAGAAGGCACGGCCATCAAAGCGAGAGTAAAGAGATTTCTTGGTTCCGCGGCTACATAAACACGCGTGGAGTCACACGCCAGTTCTCTGTGGCCGCGGGAGAAATACTGGGAGAGGAAGTCGGGAGCACCCAGCACCCTTCACACGCAGGACCCTGCAGACGCGAATCCTGCACTTCACGCAAGCCACGAGGCAACGAAGAGGCCCAGCCCGGTGCGCGGTGTGTGCCTGCAGGGGTGAGCACCCTCCGTCAGCCGCCCACATGCAGCAGGTGGGGCCCTGGCGGCACCCTCACTCCCTCCACATCAACCTGCTCCCGCGAACAGAAACGACTCTTCCCGTCTCAGAATCAACCCCTTTCTTCCTTAAAGGGCCTCTGGAAAAGAGAAGCTACAAATCCAGGACTCAGAAAAGGCACCTGAGGGATTTTTAAAAAGGGCAGCGCAGCGGGTGTGTGATGAAGTCCAAGTTCTCAGACAGCGCCTGCCCCGTGACCCCTGCGGAAACCAGCAGGAACACAGCTCCACGGAGACCCCCAACACGGAGACCCCCAACACGCTGCCCCAGAGCTGCGGTCCGGTCCCGTCTGAACACCTCGTCCCCCCGGGGATGAGACCAGCTTCCCACAATCCCACTGCCAGCGCCACACCTGCAGCAACCCACGGTCTTCCCCACGGCGCCCCCGCACCCTGATGACCCTCTCCAGAGGGCCACGAGACGGACCCCTAAGAACCGCGTGATCTTCCACGCAGAAGTGGACGCGCTGTACAGAGCCAAGCGGCCCGTCCGTCCCTGCAGCCTGCACCCAAGCTCGTTCCTCCGGAAACGCTCAGCAGCAGCCGCCACGCGCTGGGGGAAGCAGGTCTTGTCACTCCTGCGCACTTGGAGCAGGAAGCCCGTCGCCAGGGCGGGTCAGGCCCCACGCCCGGCAGAAGGCCGGCCGCCCCACTCACCGTTGGAGAGCGCCTGCTGCAGCTCGCCGTCCGAGATCACGCCGCTCCGGTCCTTGTCGACCCTGCAAAGCCGAGCCCGGTTAGCCGCGGACCGACGGGCAGAGCCGGCGCCCGCACCGAACTGCGTCAACCCTGCACGGCCGAGGCAGCTCCTTCCCACGACCGTCCCCTGGGCTCAGCGGGGACGCCTCACCCCGCCTCCTGCTGGGGAACAAAGGAGGGTCGGGCGCCTTCTCCGTCCTGAGCACTCCGCCGCCACGGGGCAGGCCACGGTCCGCCGCCACGGTCCACCGCCACGGGGCAGGCCACGGTCCGCCGCCACGGGGCAGGCCGCGTCTCCCCGGGAGAACCACCTTCTCCCTCCTCACACTTCCCGGGCCTTGCTGCTCGGTTTGCCCGGGCCTGAAGTCCGCCCACACCAGCTTCTCTCCTGCCCCAGACAAGCCCTTCCCTGGCCGTGAGCCGTTCGAGTCTCGGTCACTCGCTCACGTGGAGGGTGACCGGACGGAAGGCGCTGCTGAAACCGTCGCCAGCTTCTTTCCCTGCCGCTAAGAGCGGGGGCGCGTCTGCGTCTCCGTCCGCCTCACGCCAGCGTCCCGAGACCCTCCCGGAGCGGCCCCTCAGCTGCGGGCTCCTGGCCGCGGCGGGGCGAGGGGTGGAGGCCGCGACCCCTGAGCGACTGAGGCCACTGGGCACCTCCGCAGAGCCCCGGCGGGAGGGAGGCGCGGGAGTGGGGGGCGGCAGCCCAGGGCTGGGGGCGTCGGGCAGGAGGCCGGGGAGAGATCTAAGGGAGCCGGGAAGAAGGCCAGGGCGATGGGAGGCCGGGGGAGGCCGGGGAGGCCGGAGGGAAGCCGGGAAGGAAAGCGGGAAGGAAACCGGGAAGGAGGCCGGGGAAGGCCAGGGAGGGAGGAGCGGAGGCCAGGGAGCCCCGTAAGCGTCCGGGGGGCTCCGAGCCTCACCTTTGGAAGACGTTCCACAGGAAGCTCTGGTCCGGCAGCGCCGCGCCTCCAGGCGGGCCGGCCCCGGGGCCCGGGCGGTAGGAGTAGGTGGCCATGGACCCAGACGCTCCCCTGGGCTGAGGCTCCCCAGGAACGCAGGAGGACCCGGGCGGCTCCACTTCCGCCTCCGCGGGGCGGGGCCCGGCGCTCACATCACTTCCGGGGGCACCGGAAGGCGGTGTCTCCCCACGGGCCCCTTCCGCGCCGCGGAGCCCCTCGCGGGCCGGTTGCTAGGCGACACTGGGGCCGCGGCTGTGCGCGTGCGCGCGGCGGCCGCCTCCACATTCGCGGACCAGCGGACCTGCGTGCAGAAGGCGCTGCCCTCCACCGTGTTTAATTCTTGCACCTAAAGGCCCTGGGAGCGAGCGTGGCCGGAGGGAAGAACGCGCTGCCCCTCACCGGCGGCCCGGCCCGCTGGCGAGCCCCTGCGGCGTCCGGGCGGCCTTCGGAGCCGGGGCACGGCGGTGGAGGGCCCCGCGGGGGGCGCCCCCGAGCACGCGCCGGCCGCCCGCTGGCCGCCGTCGGGGAGACGAGGGTCCCCGCGCCCGCGAGAACTCGGACGGTTTCGGAGTCCCTTCTCCCCAAGGAGTCCCCCAGCAGTCTTTTCTGGAATTTTCCGCAGCTGCGCTGGGGGCTTCCAGGCCCGTCCGCGGACCGGCTCCCGACCCCGGCTCCGCGGCTGCTCCAGCTCCGCAGCACGAACAGGCGCTTGCGACGCTGCTTGCAGGGGACAAGACTCGTCCCCGGCGGCCTCGGGCCCCGGGCCACGCGCTCCCGCCGCTGTGCCCCTGGACGGTACCCCTGGACGGCCACGGCCGGCCACCCGCGCGGAGCGGGAGCAGCTGCCGGCCTGTGGCGCCGGGCGTGCCCGCGAGGAGCATACGCACCCTGCGCGCGGGTGACCGCGCGTGGTCTCAGGCCCGGCTCGCGGCCGGCTGCAGAGGTCAAGGCTTCCTGATGGGCGAGCGGGGAGCCCGAGGCCACACGGGCCAGGACGTGCCAGCCCAGGCCGACCTGTGCTGCCCTGCCCTTCAGGCTCCTCGAAGAAACAGTGTCGCAGGGAAACAAGGGTTGAAGAAGGTCCTGCCCCTCCCCCGGCAGCGTCTGTCCGCAGATGTACGGACCGTCCGGAAGGCTCCGTCGGAAACTCGGGCCTGGGCCGTCCCTCCCTCCCCCTCGGCCCTCATTTCTGACGCGCCTGTGGCTCGGGGCGTCCGGAGGGAGCGCGGCGGGTAGGTCCCAGCTCCTGCGCCTCGCCGTTAGGGCAGGACTGAGCCTTGGAGGCCGGCCCCGAGCTGCTGCCAGGGGAGGGGAGGGGAGCGTGTTGCTGGAGGCCTGTCGCCTGGACGGCCTCCGGGGAGAGCGCCTGCTTCCATCGGAAAGAGGCAGATCGTGCCCTGCCGAGTTCTGCGGACTCCAGCACTGGCCGCTGTCCCCTGTCCCCTGGCCTGCCTTGGGACTCCGCTCCCTCTCCCCAGGTCTGTCGTTAGCGTTCCAAGCGGATGGCGCGCGCCCGGCGGGGAGTCGGAACGACAACACTGCGCTCTTCCTCCCGTGAATATTAGCACGTGATGTGTCTAGTGTCGGGCCAGGCAGAAAATGCCTTTTATTATCCTTAGAATTTTTCTAGACGTTGGCTCTTCCTGGGCGCTGGTATCCCCGCACTTGACAGTCCACCCTCTTGTTCATCTCACGTCTTTGGCATTTGGTAAACCCTCAATAATCGTCAAATGGATGACCAAGGAAGTTATGTGTCCACACACACACACACACACACACACACACACACACACACATATCTTGTATGTATCCACACTAACAGCTTTCCCTCTGAAGCCACTTTGATTCGTTACTTGTGCCTTGTCATCAGGACTACCAATGGCTTGCCCTGGGACACTTACATGCTAGACACCTTCACTGTCACTTTCTCTCTTACACACTCCGGTGCAGAAATCTAGGAGACAGACCCAACTGTGCCCAGGCCTTCCCCTCCTTTCCAAGCATTGTTTTGTCAGACTTCAGTAGGAAAGAGAATGACTTGCCACTTTTTACTTAACTCAGGTGTCCTATTAGTGGTGCCTAACTTATCCTATGTGCTGCTTAATAGGGTACCAGCGAGGGTCTTCACTGGTGTCAGCCAACCAAATTTCTGCAACGATGCAGCTGCTCCGGTGTCCAGTGTGAGAGCTGCGCACCACGCGTGCTACCGAGCACATGAAATGGATCAAGATGACTGGGGAATGTGATCTTGAGTTTTATGTAATTTTAGTGAACTTGAATAGCTATGTGGTTATGGCTAATGCCATGGACTGTTTTAAGAGTATTGTACTCTATCTTTTCTGGTTCTTTTGGTCCATATTAAAAATTATCCACATTTCTCTGGTCAGTATCCTAGTTTTTTACCTTGATGCACATTAAAAAAAAAATTACGTGGTCTGTCAATTACTCTAGTACATGGGTTCTCTTAGAAACCTTGAACACACATTGTATAAAAATTTCCAGTATGAAATAGTCTGTCCCATGGAAACTTGCATTTCCAGACCACCTACTCCCCAGTGGTTTTCTTGGTTTCAGCATGTTCATGAAAATGGTCTGCAGGTTGATTTTTGGTTGAGAAGTAGCAGATGTAAGGAGGCCACTGCCCTCAATTACTTCTTTGAAACCAATCAGCCCTTCTGTCATCTTGTCATGCTTCACATACCTGCCTTTGCCAGCTTTTCATTCATTGTCCTAACACTTAAATGATGCTCTAATGCCTGTATCTATACTTCCGCTTCTGTAAAATTCTTTGGCCAAGCTTTGTTTCATCTGCTGGTTCGGATGGAGGTCTGAGGTTGTCATCTTTCCACCTGTTATTTTCTTACGAAAATCCTCTCCTTCATGTTTGTTGAACCACAGCATCCCATGCAGGTGGTTTTCAAACTGTGGTCCCTGAACATACTACAAATGCAGATTCTCAGAACCACCCCCAGGACCTACTGAACCAGAAGTCCTGGGTGGGGTCAGGAATTATTCAACAATCCCTCCAGGTGACGCTGATCCACATGCAAGTTCCAGAACAACCTTAGGGAGAGCAAAAAGGGGGTCTTTAAATTTTGTCATTCCTTACTCATTTATCTGAAGGGATTCCTCTGTGAAACTTTTTCCAATCAATTAAATTACCCTGAATGACAATTTCTGGATGAAAGGGAGGGTAACCATTTCATTCTCCTTTAATTATGCATTTTCAATGTTAGTAGTTAGTGCCCTCGTTACTTCCAAGAATGACTGCCTATGTTTTTGTTCAGTGTTGGCTGAGTTTTAAACTATCATTATAAATTAACATACTGATGTTTTTAATAGAGTGAATCCATGGCTATCAGGGCTGGGGGGAGAGGGGAGTGGCAAGCAGACACCACAATCCAGGTGCTTAGAACCCACTGGTATTGGGACAGAGCTGGGAAATGTGTGTGTGTCCCCTAAAGAACAAAGAAAAGGGGTGCTTGGGAGGCTCAGTCGGTTAAGTGTGGTTAAGTCTCTGCCTTTGGCTCAGGTCATGATCCCAGGGTCCTTGGCTAGAGCCCCAAGTCAAGCTCCCAGCTCAGCGGGGAGTCTGCTTCTCCCTCTCCCTCTGCCCCTCCCTCCCTCCACTCATGATCTCTTTTTCTCAAATATATAAATAAAATCTTTTAAAAATGACTTAAAAAAGAACAAAAAAATTTACACTTACATTTCTATTCCAAATTTAGTATTGCAGGATTACCTCTAATTTCTTTCTCAGAAAAAATCTGTTTTAGCATTAACATAACTAGTTACTAGCTTTAACTAGTTTACTACTACACAATTTCAAAGGGTGAACACCAATATTCCCACTAACAGGGAGATTGCTGATGAAGCACAGGGTTTCTTAGTGGACCCATTTATCCTTAAAGTTCACTGAAATTGTAAACTCCAAAGTTCTATGTTCTGCCACTTGAAATGACACTTTCCTCTTGTGACAGTCATAGCTGGATTTGCAGCTCGGTTGCAGACACTCGATGCTGTGTGGCCCGGCACCTCCCCAGTACCCACCAGACCTGCAGCTTCTTGCCTCAAGCACCTGTGACTCTGCCTGGGGTCTTTCTCTGGTGGTAGAAGTGTGGCAGGGAACGGGGCCAGGAGCTGATGTAGCCCTCAAGCCACGAAACACATCCGTCCCCTTGCTTGTGCAGCAGTGTGAATGAACCACAAATCATGATGCTGATTAAGAGAAACCAAATAAAAAGAGGGCATCTGTATGGTCGCATCCATACGTAGTTTTGGAGCATGCAAGCCCATCTCTCATGACAGCACCACTGGAGATAAGGCGGGGAGATTACAAAGGGGCAAGAAGAAACCTGGGCTGGTGAACGTTTATTGACTTATGCCAATCATACCTCATGCCATCCTCCCCCCCAAAAGAAAGAAAAATAAAAATGCTATACTTAAGGTAAAATTTCTCATTATATGATTGCCGAACATCTCCAAACACTTGCTATCATTCTTTTTTTGCAAAGTTGTAGGGGCTCTCCATCACAGAGAATTTGGAGAAGAGAATCTGAGATCATCTAAAAGAACATGTGCATTTACCCGTGGACCCAGCAATTCTACTTCTAGGATTCCACCTCAAAGAAAAGAACTTCACACATGAAGTTACTCACGGTGGCATCCGTAATACTGGAAAGAACACAAACGCCTACCACTGAAGGGTAAGGTGCATTCATGCAGCCAAAAAAAGGAAGACTCGCTGATGAGAAGAAATGATCTCCAGATATGCAGACAAGGTGTGCATAATAATGCACATACAGATTTGCTTTCTTTTTCTCTTAAAACACTCACTAAGAAGATAACTAAAGTGGTTGCTATGGGGGAGAGAGTGGAGAGGATTCAGGGACAATTGAGGTTAGCTCTGAAAATGTGAATGTTTTACGTAATTACCAGACAATCCCTAAAATTGAGAAACAGTAAAATCAATGACCCTGACTGTTACGGGCCGGATCATACAGAAGCCAGCCCCGCACAAGCACTAAGTAGGAAAGGGACCCAGAGCAAGCAAGCCGGGAAGGAAGAAACCCATTGACATCTGTTTCCTTTGGTATCTGGCAATTTAAATACTTTAGGACACATGGTCGCCCATTAAACAATTTGCTTACGAAGAACAAGAAGGAAATGTTTTTCTTCATGTGCTGTCAACACCAAAATTCATTTTTACTTAATATAGACAAGATTTCTGGATTTCAGGTCAACAAACATGCCTCAAATTAAACAGTATAAGCTTTAAATGGACTTGGAGACAGAAGTGTGCAATTTATGCTTTAATGAAGAATCAGGCCCAGTTTTATGATCTCACAAGAAGGAACAAAGGATAAAGGTAGGCTTCATTCACACTTCTGGCTGTTGATTACCGGCAAGCTTCCGGCCACCGGGTAGATGACCCCTAGTCCAATGGCCTTCCTTCCTCACTTGAGTACGGGATTGTAGAAAGGTAATCAGGAAATGAAGGCACGCACGCGCTCTTCTACATAATTACAAACGCTGGTCACCTCTGGCCTCGTCAGTAGGAGCGAATGGCCGGAGGGACTGTGGCACAGTCCGCCTCGTTTAAAGTTCTGTCGATCACTGGTCTGTATTCCAATGAAACCTAAAAAAGAAGATCGACAATAAAACAAAAACACACAAACAGCATTCTCTTGCGCCTTTTTGAAAAATTAGCTATAGAAGTTATTTGCAGACATATTTCAGGAACTTAGAAACACAAGGACTCACTGGAGTATTTTTCAGTAACAAAGTAAAAAATGATCTAAATGCACAACAGGGGACCAGCCACGTAACTTATGGTAAATCCATGTAATGAAATGCAGCAAGTGAAACAGTGTATTAAATTCTTGATGCTTTACACAAATGGTCAAGAAGTGAAACCCTGCAGACAACCACCATTCTTTAATTATGTCTAAACTATGTATTTGCAAATCGTTTTCCTACTTGTATTTATATACATACACGTAAGGAAACGTGTACGCACATACACGCAAAACCTGAAGGAAATATTTCCGAACGGCAATGAAGGCTATCTCTGACTGGGCAGCTTACAAAAATTAATTCTATTTTTGTACTTTCTATACTTTCTATTGTAATTGTGAAAAGCCCTGAACATTACTAAAAGCAGGACTGTACCGAGAGGGAAGTCTGATTTCTTTCTATACACTGTGAGGAAAGAGCCTTCATGCAAAATTAAGGAAGTTACTGCCTACCTGAAAACAACAGACACCTGAGGCTCTCGGGATTAAGCAATGGCAAGAGAGCACAACATCGTTTCTGCAGACTATCCCTTACAAGCCCGAAGGGCGTACGGGTAAACGCTTTATGTCTTATGTCTGATTCTTAATGCCCAGCAGAAATGCCAAATGGGTGAACTATGCTGTGCTGCAGTCAGACTAGGAGCCTCCACTGTACTGACACTGGCTGTTCCTAGGCCTCTGCCCACCTCACCCCTCCTCTGCCTGCTCTGCACCCAGGCCGATGCTACCCGCAGCACAGAATACCCCAGGGCGACCGGAGGCTGCTCCCAGGTGGTCCGGCCAATGGGAGAAAAGGAGTATTTTCCTGTCCCACTCCTGTCCCCTGTCCTCACGCTCAAGGGGCTCCAGAATCATCGTCCCTTCCCCTCACACCAAGGCCTGGGTGCTCACTCCCTGCTGGGGGCTAAAGCTGTGGAAGACCAGCCCTTAAACCACCCGCCTACACTGGATTCTGTTTCCAGGCAGAAGCCTGAGTGTCCTTTCCAGGAGTGTCTCAAATCTGTCACCCGTCAACTAAAACCACATCGGTTCTCCCAGCCCATCCGATGCCGAACTGCAGAACGTGTGGGACTGCATAGTCATCAGCGCGCGCGTGAGCAGAACACGCTCCCTACACACCTTCCCAGTCTTGACATCAACATAGGAAAGGGTGTGCTTCCTCCAGTGCGCCTCAAACGGCTTCTTCTGCTGCCCCTGGATGGGCTTGGAGTAGTCATACTCGTCAATCCGCTCCTGACGCCAGAGAAAGGAACTTTATTTCAGAAAATGCCAGTAACAATTATACTTCAAATGTCTTATTTCTCTAACAAGGCAATGTAATTGGAAACCAGGGCAAACTCATTCAAATGATACACCAGAGGCTCGTCTGATACGAATCCCCCTAGATCCCACTCGACAAGGAGGTATCCACTGTCCCAAGCAGACCTTGGCCAGAGAGAGCGGGACCTCCCCAGTCCATTTTTCAACCCATGTCCCTTCCCTTCTACAATTCCTAGTGAAACCCCATTTTGTGTATATCTGACCTAGAAGAACACGGAGTACCAAAGAAGTGCAAGTAAGTCCCAACTCCAAGTGGGACGGAGACAGACGATCGCCACACGTTTGCCAGCGGCCAGCCTCCCAGAGCACCTGTCCATCCTGCAGCGTGGGGCAAACGGTTCGCTCATCCCAGTGCCTCCACAGCACAAATGAGCCTGATCTTTCATGTAATTAAAAGTTCATCAAATAGGGGCGCCTGGGTGGCTCAGTGGGTTAAGCCTCTGCCTTCGGCGCAGGTCATGATCTCAGGGTCCTGGGACTGAGCCCCGCATTGGGCTCTCTGCTCAGCAGGGAGGCTGCTTCCCGTCCTCTCTCTCTCTCTGCCTGCCTCTCTGCCTGCTTGTGATCTCTGTCAAATAAATAAAATCTTAAAAAAAAAAAAAAAAACTTCATCAAATACTTTGTCTTCTTGCTCATATACTGGGAGATTTTGATTTCTTCTTTTAGCTTTTTTCATTTAAATGTTTCACTTTAAGCAATTATATTAAAATTTTGTTCAAAAACTCTTAAAAAGAAGCTGAATACTATTAAGGGATGTCCTACACATGGTAATGGAAAAGACATACAAGAGCTGCTTTAAATAAAAACCAGGGGCACCTGGCTGGCTCAGCCAATGAAGCACGGGGTTGGGAGTTTCAGCGCCTTGTTGGGGGTACAGATTACTTAAAAATAAAATTTAAAAATAATAACGAACTGAGGGCTGACAGAGGGAGGTGGGTGGGGGGAGGAGGACATTTGTTGTGATGAGCACTGAGTGTTGTATATAAGTAATGAATCGGTGAATTCTAATCCAGAAACCAATACTGCACATGTGTCAACTACCTAAAATTTAAATTTGAAAAAAGTCAAAAGAATAAAAATTAAAACACAAAAGTGTACCAAAAGCAGCTTTCTATAAAAATAAATGAATAAATAAAACAAAACACAAACCCGGGAGCAAGCGGGGCTGTAGCACCCTCCCTTCTTTCTGAACACATAGCAGGGGTGAGTTCTCCGGGGCCAGCAGCCTCCACCTGCCCGACTGCTGTGACTGAACAGAAACTCGTTCACCGCGGCCACACGAACTGCCAAGTGACCCACAGCTGGGGAGGCGTCTCCTTCTCAGTACAGGTGACAAATGTGCTTCATCAGGCTGCATCTAATCCAGCCTCAGTGGCTGGCAGGTAAATTAATACAATTTCATGATGACTCAGAATGTAAGCCTCTTGCTGGGGCCAACTTTCCCACTCGTCTGTGCCCAGCTGACTGGTGTGGCTGCTGCCAGCTCCACCACACTGTCCCGGACAAAAGCCTGTCTGTCCGGAAAGCAGTGTTTGCCCTCAAGTGCCCATGTCCTCGATGTTTTCCCATCATATGCTGAGTGCTCTGTCTGGAAGAATTTGAACTGTACTCCGCATAAAAATCAGGTCATTCAGGGGCACCTGGGTGGCTCAGCTGGCTAAGTATCCCCCTTTGGCTCAGGTCATGATCTCAGGGATCGAGCCACGCATCGGGCTCCCTGCTTGGCAAGGAGTCTGCTTCTCTCTCTCACTCTTCCCCTCACCCCCGGCCCGCCCGCTTCTGTTCATGCATGTGCACTCTCTCTCAAATAAATAAAATCTAAAAAAAAGAAAAAGAAATCAGACCAAGATGAGGTCAGGCCTCAATCATTTACTCATTTTTAACGTTTTCTGGCCACAGTACTCAGACTGCAGGCTAATCTCGGACCTGGTAAAAGTCGGGTGGGCTCTTAGAGACGCCACTGGCAGGAGCAGAGGCCGATGTGAGGCAAGAAAAAGTCATGCTGGTACCAAACACAGTGACACCAAAGTATGAAAGTTATCAGAGGCGGAAAAAATGCATTTTTCAATTTACTTTTGGGAACATGGAGTGAAATGTACAGGAAGTGCACGGTGAGGGACTGAGCAATGCCCGTGGCCGGAGGACATGATGTGCACCTGGGATGTGCTGTGAGGACGCACCTTGTAATCTTCCCGGGCGTGAGCGCCACGTGACTCCCTCCGGGCCTCTGCTCCATAAATGGTCTGAAGCGCACAGAGCATCAGGTTCTGTAGCTCCAGGGTCTCCACCAGGTCGGTGTTCCAGACCATTCCTGGGGACACACAAGGCACCCGTTAGAGACAGGGTCCAGTCCGATGTGTCCTCAGGGCTGTGGCTGTGGGCTTGCCAGCATCCACTCACACAGCAAGGACAGAGTTAAGTCAGCACTACATGGGACACACAGGGCTCTGAGGCAGCCTAGCAGATACCCGGCGCCCCAAGTACACCCAGGGCCCCACAAACTGCTTACCTCGGTCAAACGTCTTCAGATGTTTCAGGTCTCCATAGAGCTGGCTGATCTTCTCACAGCCTTCCTGTAACACACTTCCCACACGGAACACTGCAGCGTGATTTTGCATCGACTGTAACACAAAATATCATCTGTAATTCTCCAGTTGGTGTGAAGCCAGGTCTAAAACTGGTAAACCCTTCAGACTTTTTCTTATGCGTTTCATTTTTACTTTTAAAGATTTTATTTTGAAAAAATCTCTAGACCCAGTGTGGGACTCAAACTCACAACCCTATATGCGTACATGTATATACAGCACATACACAGTACACAGAACACACACGCCCATGGTTAGTAACCATTCATCCACCATCAGACACCTGTCTTCTTGGCTACTGTAAACAACACGGCAACAGACATGGGGCACAGACATCTTCTGGAATTAGTGCTTTCATTCCCTCTGAATACATACACAGAGCTGGGATTGCTGGATCACAGAGTAGTTCTATTTTTAATTGGGGGGGGGGGCCCTCCACAGTGCTCTCTGCAGCGGCTGCACCAGCCTGCATTCCCACCAACAGCACGTGAGGGCTCCCCTCTCCAAATCCTTGCCAACATTCGTGTTTCTTGTCTTTTTGATACTAACATTTCTGAAGGTGTGAGATGAAGTGATGGGATTCTGATTAGCATTTCCCCCACGATGAGTGACGCTGAGCAGCTCTTCATGTCTGTTCGCCAACTGCATGTTTTCTTTGGAAAAACATCTGTTCCGATGCTCTGCCCATTTCTTAGGTTGCTTTTATTCTACTGAGTTGTAGGAGTATTTTATGGGTTTTGGGATGTGAGTCCCTTATCAGATACAGGACTTACACCTATTTCCTCCCATTCCATAGGCTGCCTTTTCATTTCGTTGGCCTCCTTTGCTGTGCCGAAGCTTAAGTTTGATGTGGTCCCAACAGTTTATTTTTACTTTTCTCTCCTCTGCTCTTTATGTCAAATCCAAAAAGTCACCACCAAGACCGCCATTCAGAAGCTTACTGCTTGTGTTTTCTTCTAGGAGTTTTATGGTCTCCGGTCTTACATTCAAGTCTTTAATCCGTTTTGAGTCAGTTTTTTGCATGTGGCTCTTCAGTTTTTCCAGCACCATTAAAGAGACCGTTCTTTTCCCACTGGATATTGTTGGCTCTTCTGTTGTAAATTATTAGCCATATACACTGGTTTATTAATGAGCTTGTTTCTATTCCATTGATCTACAGAGGTCTGTTTTTAGGCCAATACCTTACTGTTTTGATTACTATTCCTTTGTAATATAGTTTGAATCAGGGAGAGAGATGCCTCCAGCTTTTTTTTTTTCTCTCGGGATTGCTTTGGCTATTCAGGGTCTTTTGTGGTTCCATACACATTTTATGTCTGTTTGTTCTTTTTTTGTAAAAAATGCCACTGGAATTCTAATAAAGACTACCGAGTGTGTGAACAGCTTTGGGTAATATGGAAATTTTATAGTATTACTTCTTCCAGTCCATGAGACAGAATATCTTCCCACTTATTTATGTCCTCAACTGTATTCATTAATGCTTTATACAATTTTCAGTGTACAGATTTTTCCCCGCCCTTGGTCAAAATTACTCTTTCTGATGCAATTGTAAACAGAATTACTTCCTTAATTTCTCGTTCAGAATGTTCATTATTTGTGTAACAGAAACAACAGATTTTTATGTATTGATTTTGTATCTGTCAACCTTATTGAATTCACTTACTAGTTCTAAGTTTTTTGGTGGAGTTTGTGTCATGTGATCTGATATGTCTGTAAATAGCGAATTTTCCTTCCTCCTTTCCATCTAAGATGCCTTGGTTTCTTTCCTGCCTGACTGCTCCAGCCAGACTTCCAGGGCTGTGCTGAATCAAGTGGAGAGTGAACATCTCTGTCGAGTCTCCGGGATGAGAAACTAACCTTTCGGCTTTTCACCACTGAGTCTGACACTAGCTGTGGACTCATCATATACGGCCTTCATTACACTGGGGTACACTCCCTCGATACTTGCCTCGTTGACAGTTACATCATAAATAGATGTTAAAATGCAGTTTTGATGAAAGCTTTTAAAAAATGCTTCTACATTCCCATGAAGTATGTGTCTTAAATCCACATACATTAAAACTGAATAGTTTGCATTTCGGGGAGGTCATCTGTGGAACTTGGCCAGGATCTGTGATAGCAAGCAGACTTACTTGAGGCACGCTGCACTGAATGGTGGCACCTAGGGCATAGGGCTCCACCTTCAAAGTCCCAAGGAGACATTAGCTCCACTCTCGAGATCTGGTGGCAAATGTTCTAGGAGCCAGCAGACGGCCCCTTGGCGACACAAACTAAGGAGTGCTGAGGTTGAGGTGGTCAGCAGAGAGCGTGGGGTGGGCGGTCATGAAGGAGAGTGAGAAGTCAGAGCCTTGGGAATCCTCCCTGCCCATCTTCTGGTTAATCTTGCAGAAAACCACTCATATATCAAATTCCTCTATGGCTTTATGGTTTATGCTCGTAAGAAATATGACATGAAATAAACCTGACATTTATTTTCAGATCTACCTTTGTTTCCTATCACCTACTGAATGGCCTTTCATCGCTCTTGAAAAACCCCTCTACCCCATGCTCAATCACAGTGTGTGCCTGGGCCTACTTCTGGACTCCACTTTGTGCACGCACCTCTACCACAAGCTAATAAAGCTTGATGATTTAGTTCTATTTAACAGGCATGTCCTCTCTTTCTTTAGAATGATACATAATTTTATTTTTGTTTTATTTTTAAAAATTTTATTGAGAGACCAAGACCACAAGTGAGGGTGAAGAACCGGATCCCTGCCGCGGGGCTCAATCCCAGGACCCTGATATCGTGACCTGAGCCCAAGTCAGATGCTTAACTCACTGAGCCCCTCAGGAGCCCCAGAACAATACATCATTTCAAAATTGTAACGCCCAACATCAAATGTCCTGGCCTCTCGGGACAAGCAAATGGAAAAAACGATCTTAGAATCTAGGAGGTTAGTTAAAACATTCTTTTATGTTCTTCAGCGCCCACGTTTTCATACTCTTCAGGGTTAGGGCATTGTAAACTTCTGGTTGTACTGTGAATGAGGTTAATTTTCAAATGAATTATTGCAAGCATCCTGGAAAGCTACTGAGGAATCTTTTATACAGATACCTTAATTCATTCTTGTTTTTACTAATTTTTTACTTATTGTCTTGAGATTTTTAACTGTGTCTGTAAATGATGATACTTTTGTCTACTCCTTCTCAATACATACCTTGTTTCATTTCTCTGTTATCAGCTGAACTCAGCAGAACAGTCAGTCCTCCAACGCAAGCGTGCACTCCCAGCAGGGAGGATTTCGTTCAGACAACTGGAGCATCTAGAACACTGCCTGGCCCGGCAGGTAACAATTCCCATGGTCCCTAACCCACGACAGCTTGACTTACTATTCCTCACCCTCACAGTGATGCAGAAGCGGTCTGCATTCAGAGACACAGTAGTTTGGATCCTCCTCTTTGCCCAGGCTAGCCATGTGCCTGCCATAGGCGTCCCTGGGCACTGGCAGCAGCTGCAGCCACCACTCAGCCCCACGATGCGGAGGGTAAACAACCGTCCACACACACAGAGCCATCTTTTCACTTTCAGTATTCAATAAGCCACACGAGGCAGTCGACACCGCACTATGAAACAGGCTTTGCAGTTGAGTTTTCCCTACTGCCAGCTGACAATGGAGGTCGGCTGAGCAGATGTTTAGTAAGTTAGAGGTGTTTTAAATGCATTTATGACTTAGAACATTTTCAACTGTCACAGGCACATAACACCACCGCAAGTCAAAGATCTGTACACGCCTTATTCGGTGGGAACGCCCCTAGGACTTCCTATTTCAAAATGCCTCATGAATTTACCATTTCCACCCCCAAACAGAGGTTCCTAAGACCCAGGGCAATGATTACATTTGTCGTAGCTGGCCTCCAACTCCTGGGTCAGTACCCTGTGGAAGTCCTGCACAGCACCTCGTCTGCTTTCCTTCAACATACCTCTGTCCTTCACTGGCGCCATCTGCCTCACCTTCCCTGGAAGCCTCCCTGGAGCCCAGCCTGCCCAAACACAGAACCACAGTCCTACAAAAGTAGCAGTATGCGGCATTTTTCTTTTGATGGTGACCTCAAAAGACCCCTCAGCATATGACTAAAAGCAAGGGGCTTCTTTTCAGAATGCGCCTCCACAAGGAAATCCTTGAACATGATTTTAACTGGACAGAGATCCCATTCATGGACCAGGAATCCCTGTATTCGAAGACTCTGGAGGACGCCTAGCAGTCTTACGGGCTGTGTTTATCGGGCTGTGTTTATCTAACCCTCCGTTCTCCAATGCAGCAGCCACAAGTTGTGCTTGAGGGTCAACTGAAGTTGAATAAAATTAAGATTCAGTTCTTTAGTCAGACAATAGGCTCCAAGGTCACAGGGGGAACCCGTGATCCTATCCTCAGAGAAGATCCCATCAGACATGCTGATCTAGAAGGTAAACGCCCTGACGACCACCGGTGCACAGATCAGATCACCGCTCCCATCACCCCCCACCAACCCTGAAGTTCCCTCTCGTTCTGCTGTTATTTAGTGACTTCATGGGCCCAGTTCAGAGACTCTCGCAGAGCTGCTGGAGGCTGGGTGTGCCGGGGCATTAACCTCTTGGCAATGAGACGCGCAGGGCTTTAAGGAGCTCCTAGCTGGGAACGGAGCTCCTCAGACCTTGCACTGTCCCTTCCCTTTTAGGCTCTGACACACACCCGACAGCAGAGCGGGTCCGAGGAGGGGAAAGCCACATGCAAGCCCCCGGGGCGCACGACAGGACTGCGTCTCTGTCCTGCACGGCTACCTCCAGCCTTCAGGTGGAACGTGTCCCTTTGCTGTTGGCCCCGAGCCTGGCACAGGGCTGTGGGCACACGGTCTGCCCTCTGGAGTGTGTGCGGGCGCTCACCTTCTGCATGCTCAGCCGCAGTTCTGATGTTCTTATGCTTCCGTCAGCAAACCTCAGCTTGTCAAGATTCATGACAGACTCTTCCCCGGCATTTGGTTTGATCGGGGGAACTTTATCTCCTTAAGAAACACAGACAAAACGCTAGAATTTAATGGAGTTGGGAAGATGTACACATAATCTGAGTTGATATTCCGTCTGACCACCTGAGCCCTAAGGCACCACATACTGATGGAGCCAAAGGGTAAACATGAAGTCAAATCTCTGGCAAGGAGTAGGTATCCAGTAAGAAATCTCTGAACAAAACAGAAACCATTCCTAAGTTTAAAAATTAGATTTATGCATTATTACTCTACTGAATGGAAAACTGGCACCTTCACAATAGCGAGCAGCTTCCAAAAATTCTGCCAACGTGCCCCACCCCCACCAATGACGGTCGTCACTCAGGGATGAGGGAGGGCCTGGCCAGGCATGTTTAAAAAACTCTCCTGCTGATTTGGACCTTTGCATCTGCTGACCTAAACCTCATGATATGTTTCTCTGACTTTTCTAAAGAGATAAATGTTTTGAAAATTTAAAATATTTTAAAGATTTTTTTATTTGACACAGAGAGAGAAAGAGCTCAAGTGGACAGAGAGGCAGGCAGAAGGAGAGAGAGAAGCAGGCTTGCCACCGAGCAGGGAGCCCAATGTGGGGCTTGATCTCAGGACCCTGGGATCATGACCTGAGCTGAAGGCAGCCGCTCAACCGAATGAGCCACCCAGGTGCCCCCGAAAACTTAAAATATTTTAAAATTTTAAAATGTTTTAAAATTTTTCAGTTTTTTTTCTTTAAATGACATTTGGAAATGTATTTTCTTCAGTGGGTAATATGGGAGAGGTATGAAATGAGGAAGCAAAGGTCTGCAGGTAAAGCAGGGTTGCTCACAGCTGCGTTCAGCAAGGAGCGAAGGCAGCACCAGTCTCTCATGTGACCCACCCCAGCTCTTCCAGGCCAGCTGCGGTCTCTGCTTTTATTTGTAATGTTTCTTTAAAAATGGTGATCATCTGGGGCTCCAGGTGGCTCAGACAGTTAAGTACTTGACCCTTGGTCTCAGCTCAGGTCTGATCTCAGGGTTGTGAGTTCAAGCCCTGTGCTGGGTTCCACAGTGGGCATGGAGCCTACTTCAAAATAAACATATTAAAAAATTAAAATAAAAAAAATTAAAATTGAAAAGTGATCATTTACCAAAATTATTTTTCTCTAGGTGCACAATTCTACAAATCTCGACACAGGTATGGGTTCCCGTAACCATCACAATTCAGGTACCGAGTAAGATACATAATCAGGGTACAGAACGTTTAAAATTCTCACGTTTGGAGGATGTAGCAACGTTTTTCCTTCCCTTTCTGGTTTTAAAGTTGTAAAGTACGGGGCGCCTGGGATGGCTCAGCTGCTAGGCGTCTGCCTTTGGCTCAGGTCGTGATCCCAGCATACTGGGAAGGAGCTCCGCGGCAGGCTCCCTGCTCAGTGGGAAGGCCCACCGCGATAGAATGGCAGCCACTGAGCCACCTTATTCCCAATTCTGTCTCTTCCATCATGTTATACAAGTAAAACCAGAGGTGTGTGGCCTCCGGAGCCCGGATCATATGACCCAATACGTCTGGGGGTCCATTCGTGCTACTGCATGGACAAGTACTTATTCCGTTTTTATTTTTTATTTTTTTTTAAGATTTTATTTATTTATTTGACAGACAGAGATCACAAGTAGGCAGAAAGGCAGGCAGAGAGAGAGAGAGGAGGAAGCAGGCTCCCCGTGGAGCAGAGAGCCCGATGTGGGGCTCGATCCGAGGACTCTGGGATCATGACCTGAGCCGAAGGCAGAGGCTTTAACCCACTGAGCCAGCCAGGCGCCCCTTTTTTTTTTTTTTTTTTTAAGATTTTAACTTATTCCGTTTTTAATCACGAACTTAAAACAATTTTTTTGAAGTGTGTATCAATTCTTCAGATATAAAAGTACAAAATATTTTAATAAAACTTCCTTTTTCTCATTTTCGAACAAAGGGAAGCTCGAACTTTCTGCTTTGCTCGGAGATCTGACTTCAGGCTTCGCCACTGCAGTGCAGTGAGCACTGGATTCTCTGCCAGACTGGGGGATCTGACTCTTGCCTTTGCAGCAAAGACGGGGACAGGGCCCCACCTCTGCCCATCAGCGACTTGGTCGGAGTAAGGCAGATGGCGTCTGAAAGTGTAACTGTCTGTCACACGTATCTGCTGACTGCAGGCGGGACTGCGAGTGTGGCACGTGATGTTGAGGGCTGTGTTCAACTAGCAGGACAGTAAGACTCCCCCAACTTAGAATCCATACAAAAAGCTTTTGTTCAATAGAAACGGCAGAACTGAGACTGCACGGTCACCGCCAGTGAAGCCTAATGGGCAGAGCGAAGCCCATGGATCCCATCGTCCTACTCTTGGGAACAGTGTCTTCATGTCAACTGCAGTCCTGAGCGAAGGGGCCACAGGAACCCACACAGAGACCTCTGGGAGATCCCTGTGACAGTGCATGTCCTGCCCCTGGCAGGACTCGCGCTTCCAGCATGGGGCACTGTTCCCTCAGGTTATTGGGTGACCAGACGAGCACAATCACGGACTGAAAACCACTGTGACGCCGCAGAGACACCTGTGCCCAATCCTTTGTGCGCATTACGCTCTGCTTTAACAGACCATTTACATTTTTTTTTTCCCCAGAAAAACCAAAGTTACTTTTCCATAAGTACTGAGAACTTACATATAGTCACATGTACTATTCAAAATATTTCCTTGCAAGTAGTGATCTGTAACAAGCAAGCACCGTGTGACACACTTCTTCTCAAAACAACTCCCTCACAGGGGCTTTTCTAAAGAGAACATTAACGACCACAAAACAAGATCTGACCAAAACCAGGTTATCCTCTAAATTGTTAAGACCCTCACCTAGACGTATCCAGTCTCGTGTGTCACAATAGAAATCTCTGAATCACGGTCTCTTCACTTATAGGCAGAAAAACCAGACCACCCCCCATGATCACTCAGCAGATTTCCAACAAATCAAGACATGGTAACCTATCACTTCCCGAAACAGCCTGAATCCCTGAAGAAAACACGTACCGGGTCTGCAGGACTCTGCGATACTCAGGGCACACGCCCTGCCGAAGACGACCAGGTCCAAGAGCGAGTTTGCCCCGAGGCGGTTGGCACCGTGCACAGAGGCGCAGGCGGCCTCCCCACAGGCATACAGGCCGGGCACGATCTGATCCTGGCCGTTCACATGCCTGAGGACCTGTGGAAGGAAGACTTTAGACTTCAGGAGCACGGTCTGCAGAGCCCTCCTTCCCAGGACAGGGGCGTCTGCCTGCAGGCTCGGAGGAAGGATGGCAGGTAAGGACCAGACCTGCATCGTCTACAGGGAGCCCTCTGAGTCTGCACCCAGACACTCAGTCACCCCGGGCAGTCAGGTCAAAGGACCCCACACTGGCAACACCTGTCACTTCACTCCCACATCTACTGCTCATTACGAACCTCGTTCCCCACCCGACTGAGCCCCCCTCCTCACTTCCACACTCCAGCTCTGGATTCTGATGAAGGGAAGGGAGTATAGCGCATTGCTTGTCTACAAAGTGGGGAGGAGCGCCCCAGCCACCTCATCGGAGGAGAGGCAAAAAAAATCACAAACCAAAAATCCCTGGGTGGACTGCAAGCCACCCACAAGTATGTGATGTGTGGAGAATATGATTTACAAGGTCACAGTAAAAGTAACAAGAGATCAAACAGGAAAATAAACTATAAACTGGGAAAAGCTGCAAATGATACTGTGTCCATAACCATGTGTTCTGGAGGGGTCGCTGAGTCACCGGTGACTGCTCGTCCTTGCAGAGTGAGGGCAAACGCTAGCGTGTGCCCGGGCCCTGCTCTGCCCTCCAGCAGCGACTGTGCTGAGGGAAACATCTGTACGATGTTTCTGTATTTTCTGGGTCCAGAGGGACAACTATGAGGTGGGCCTGTCGTTCCTGCCCTGCTCCCCTCTGTGGAAGGGTCCCGGCTTGGTCACCTGCCCCCTGTAGTTGGTGGGAATGCCACCCATGTTGTAATGCACAGTGGGAAGGACGGGGATCGGCTCCTTAGTGACATCCACGCCCGCGAAGATCATGGCCGTCTCCGAGATGCCCGGCAGGCGTATGGCCAGCTGCTCTGGGGGCAGGTGGTGCAGCTGCAGGTAGACGTGGTCCTTCTCCGGGCCGCAGCCTCTGGTGGAGGAGGACATCATGGGGGGGAGAACGGTAAATACAGAGGATGTGAGACCACAAAGTCACTGAAGCATATCAGGTTCCACTTTTCTCAGGCTGTACGGAATGTCCCCTCACTCGTGGTCATCCATTCTTCACGTCTTTTCCGAGCACCTACCCTGGCGGAGGGGACTCCACATGCTGGGACACAGCCAGAACGTGGACAGACACTCTGCCCTCACCGGGCTCACACTCCGGTCCTGGGAAGTCAGTGTGTTTTCCTTGATAAATGGGTCAGAAGTCCTTCGAATGCAAATACTGCAAACATAACGTGTCTAGAGGCCGTAACCCCAGAACTCTGACAAGAAGCAGCGCAGTAAGGCAGCGCGGACACGGAAGAGCCGACGCTGCTTCGGGGAACACCACGGGCTCGCGCACAGCAGGTCCCCAAGCCGCATCCACGGCCCACACGCGAACTTCAGACTGCCGGCATGTGGGTCTCTGTCACAACACTCACTCACACGCACACAAACAATGTTCCACAGACTTGAGATTTAGGTCAGACCAGCCCAACTCCCCAAAATGCTGGTCTCTAGGGCGACATCACAGAGCGACAGTCAGTCAGAGGGCAGCAGGTGGCTGCACGCAACCTACAGAGTTGGGAGGAGGTGCCCAAAGTCACACACAGTCACACCAGCCCATGTCAAGATGCAGACGCGAACAGCAGCCACCAAAAGAGAAAGCAGGGGTGTGGGTGTGCATGTGCGTGTGTGCACTCAGACACCTTTGGAGATAATCACACAGACCTTCCTTCCCGGATTTCCAGAGTCATGGACCGAGATACAACGTCTCTGGATGCCAAATCCTTTGCCACCGGGGCATAGCGCTCCATGAACCTTTCGCCTTGACTGTTAATGAGAATGCCTCCCTCTCCACGACACCCTTCCGTAATGAGACAACCAGCGCCATATATACCTGCAAAGAACCCAATTAATTAGCTCTTTCTAACTGAACAACTGCTAGGTCTAGATTTTGAGCGCAAATTTTTTTCAAGGTATTTTTGGGGAAAGGAAAAGGGTATGCAAAGGGCATTGTGCTCTCAAGAGAGTAAGACAAAAGAAAGATTAAGAAGAGTAGATAAGATTATAGTAGATGTAGTAGATAAGATTAAGAAGTTTCCACAAGGAAAAGCACAAAGCAGCAGAACTGCCCCTGACCTGAGAATTCCAACGACAACCGTTTAAACTTCCAGCACAAGCAAGCACTCGTTAAATTCACGTTTTATTTTCTTTCTTTCTTTTTTTAAGATTTTATTTATTTGACAGAGACAGAGTAAGAGAAGGAACACAAACAGAAGGAGTGGAAGAGGGAGAAGACGACTCCCCACTGAGCAGGGAGCCCTATGTGGGGTCAATCCAAGACCTGGGAGCAGGACCGGAGCAGAAGGCAGACGCTGAACAACTGAGCCACCACCGGGTGCCCCTGTTTTCATTTTAGAGCATCGCCTTGTGCCACGAAATTGTGACAAGGTAGGAAAACCAGCTTGGAAAGTTCCTATCTAAACTCACTGGTAACGGGGCGCTTCATGCTTACAAGTGGAATTCAGAATCTTCAGACATTTTTTAGTTAAAAACAGTAATTAAAAAAACTACCCAAGGTGGCTCAGTTGGTTGAGCGTCTGACTCTTGGTAGAGCCCCCAATCTCGCTCTGTGTGCTCATCGAGGAGAGGCCTTGAGAGTCTCCCTCCTCCTCGGCCCCTCACCCCACTCGTGCACTCCGTCACTCTCAGATAAATAAATAAATCTTAAACAAAACAAAACAAAACCAAGCCTGGGTGGCTCAGCAAGTTAAGCCTCTGCCTTCGGCCCAGGTCATGATCTCAGGGTCCTGGGATCGAGCCCCGCATCGGGCTCTCTGCTCAGCGGGGAGCCTGCTTCCTCCTCTCTCTCTCTGCCTGCCTCTCTGCCTACTGTGATCTCTGTCAAATAAATAAATAAAATCTTTAAAATAAATAAATAAATATTTTAAAAAATTTTAAAAACAAAACTAAACTACCTAAAACATTTTTTTATTTTTCATCCCTGCCAGGGATCGGAAAAAACAGACTGACAGAGCAAAGAGAAAAAAACCAGCTCAGGTTCTTTAGCAAGGTGGGGAGCTACATGTGGCGTTCCCTCAACTGACAGGCTAGAAAAGCAACAAAAAACCACATCCAGAGTGAGACTCGTCCCTCCCAAGAGGCAGTCACTTCTGGGTAAGGGGCGCTCTCAAACCTGCACCCCCTGCACAGACCTCCCTTTTGAACCCCACATTCACACACTCAACTGTCTGAGGACCCGAGACGAGCTCAATCTGCCATGGCTGGGCAGTCAGTCATCAACACCTCAGGGGTCCCGTCTGCCACAGCTCATCCCAACTTTATACGCTCCTACTGTGACAGCTGCTGTTCTCCCTACAACCCTGAAATCTGCCCACGCCACAACTCTGGTCACCAGTGTCCCCCCCCCCCCCGCTATCAGGACACCCACTCAGTGAAAACTGCCAAGGTCCTACTGTGTGCCAGGCACTGTGAACACAGCCGTCCCTGCCCCGGCCTTTACGGCTATAGGACTGGAGCAGGTACCATCAAGGCAAGAGGCAGAGTTCGTCAAGCTGGTGCCCTAAACTGCCTTGGGGGAAGTAGGGAAAAACCTCCTTGAGCAAAAGAGGAGCTGGGCTCTGGGAACCCTCTGGGAACCGGTCCGCACAGGGAAGTGCAGAGGAGCATCAAGAGACATGGGGGGCTCGGAAGACACGAGAGCCCGGGCCGCGGGGAAGCGGTCCCATCCTACCTGTGGGGTGGAACTGCACGAACTCCAAGTCCTGGCAGGGAAGGCCTGCCCTGGTGACCATGGCTGTGCCGTCACCGGTGCTGGTGTGGGCAGACGTGCAGCTGAAGTAGGTGCGGCCGTAGCCTCTGGGAAACAGACAGGCAACAGAGAACGGTGATGCACAGGGAACCCTCGGGTCTGCCCTTCTGACGGCGCCAGAGTGGGCAGAGCCGGCCAGCAGCAGTTGCAGGTGCTGTGGTCCGCGCCCCGCTGGGCAACCGGGCAGGGAGCCCGAGCGACAGAGAAGGCACTCGTTTGTACCTCAGCGTGCTTTGGTGCCGAGCGACTTCCTGGTGAGCATGCGCTACGTTAACACTAAAATGTTTAATGTCTACGGATCCACACCTTTAAAGGCTTAAAGTAACAAACTGACGGTGTACGAAATGGAATTTACTTATTTTCATCATGTGAACAAACTACCCCAGAAAATCAGTACACAGTACCCACTAAAGCAAAAGAAGTTGGTCCAGAAAATGTCATGTGCCTCCCCAGACCCCTTTCTTCAAGGGTCCTCCCAGGTGTGAATGGAGGATACGTCCCTGCCCACCTGAGGCAGCTGCCGTGACTGGCCCCTTCAAAGATACAGACCGGAGGCTGGCGAAGCTTACTGTGCTGCTGGGTTAGGTCACTACCTGTGATTCCTGTGATTAAACCACTATTCCATAGTGCCTCCATCTTTATTTGAAGAAACTGAGACCCAACTTCCCTACAGAGAAATTAAATACAAGTCAGACTCCTACCCGGTAGCCACGACAGTGTTCTTGGCTCTTATGCGATGGATGGACCCATCTTCTATGCACAGTGCAATAACACCACGACATTCCCCATTTTCCATCAGGAGATCCAAGGCAAAGTACTCTACAAAATAGCTGGTATCATACCGCAGAGACTAAAAAACACGAGAGAAAAACAAGGTTCCCGCAGTTTCAATTGCATTTACGCTGTTGACACCTCAGCAATACTGCTCACGTGAACAGTCTGAGGCCCTGATCCGGTGTGTGGACAGCGTAAACTCTCGGAGAGCACCAGCTCGCGTCCCATCAAGCACAGCACTGATGCTGTTGTGTAACCACCAACAGGTAGCCTGCTCTCAGCTGTATGACCGGAACGTAAGGACACACACGCGTCACGCACACCACAGAAGACCACGCAGCTGCTCCGTGAAAGGGCCCTCACGAAACTGCCGGCTCCCCCACGTGACACACAATTCCGCCGGATGGGCAGATCCTGTCACACATCTGTCAGTGCACTCAGCCAGAGAAGCCACCGGTGCCCTAACATTTGTAAGTCAATACTTTGTCGCCATCTGGAAGCAACAGTTCAGAAAACGGATTATTCTCAGCGTTTGGATACTTCAGGATGCTGATTATCTGGCTATGCCGAAGTAGGCCCTGATTATCCAGTAACTACTGCCCCCAAAGCTTAGTCCAGTCTGAGCAGGTAAGTATGCAAACACCCAGTTCAGGAACTCAGAGGTGCTGAGGCATAAAGCACTCATTCGCTTCTCAAGTGTGGCAGGCCGCAGACCACCAGTTCAAACACAGCACGTAACGACTATCAGTTCCATTTTCTAGAGCAGACACCTCCTCCTTAACAATCACACGATTACTATACACATCTACCATGTTCCTCTGATGTTTATGAAGTGACCCCGGGCCTGACACTCTGACATTCCGACCTGTCCCCAGGGTGGCCCGTTTCCGGCTCATCCCCACACGCCCGGCCTAACTAGACTGTATCCCGTCAACCCGCACACCCAAGGCAGCCTCACCCTCCCATACAACGTGTGCAGCAGGGAGTGGCCCGTGCGGTCAGCCACGCAGCAGCACCGGTGGGCCTGCCCGCCTTTCCCAAACTTGAGGCTCTGTCCGCCAAAAGCACGCTGATAAATCCTCCCATCTTCAGTTCTGCTAAACGGCATGCCGTAGTTCTCCAGCTGGAAAATATAAAACAGACACCTCGTACCTTGTAGGAATCAGGACATTCACGGCGACTTTACATAACGAAACGATTTCAACATAAACCTGCAAACCCCCAACCAATACATTCTATGAAAACTTCAACACTTTGGAAAAGAGAAAAACTTCGATATAAAATGAACTGAATGGTTAATGACGGAAAAGATTCCCCTTGTTCCATCCACTGTTACCCTTCTTTGGGCGGACCCCATCGGCCTCAAATTCTCTTCATATTAGGAACAGACCATGTGAGGACACTACCTCTACCACAGAAGCAGGGGCCTGCTCTGTCATGTAGTGGATGGCGTCCTGGTCCCCCAGCCAGTCGGAGCCCTTCACAGTGTCGTAGAAGTGCCACCTCCAGTTGTCTTCCTCCATGTTCCCCAGGGCAGCATTGATCCCTCCCTGCAAACAGAGAGCACCTTACAAGCTGCAAGAAGGAGCCCCGGTGACATTTTCAGGCTCGTCCTTTGCCTCCTGCCCCAGAACTGGGTTCAGAGAAAGCCAACCGCTTTGACTGAACAGTCTGTAAGGGTCCTGAATGCAGTCCTGTCACAGGACCTCCTTCCGCCTCAGTCTCCTCACCTACAAGCTGTCTGGAGGGTTAAGTGAGGCTCCGTGTGCGACACTCATCACTTCCCAACCTGGCACACAAAAGGTACCCAACAAATCTATCTGGGATAATTTTATGACGAAATGTTCGCAGTGGTATCTATGGGCATATGGTAAAGGAGTGTTTACTGTCAAGTCAGAGTCAGAGAACACGGCAGTACAGGACAAACGTAATGCTTGCACTTTTCCTCTCCAACTTAAAACTGCAGTACCCCTCTCTTTTTCACAACTAAAGGCACAAAGAACCTCCCCCCGTTTTCCAATTGTTCCTCAGTCCCAGCTTCTGAGTCAAGCAACCCACGCTTGAACCCTTTTCCCACTTGGCGCTACTGGGCCTTGATTTCCCATTATGTTTAGTTCCCAGGAAAACAGTCCCTAGCGCAGAGCCAGGAATCCTGTAATAGACATGCAGCAAAGTTACTGCATTACTTCCTCCTCCTTCCCCACCCCCTTCACCTGTAAGCCCAAACTCAATTCCGGTGAGAAACGAGCAGTACCAGAGTAGCAGAACGGAGAAAACCTAGTTCAAAATAACACAGAAGTACTCGGCCCGGTGCACGCACAGGGGCTGCTATTTTACTGCTACTACTAGGAAAAATCAGGGCCACAGACAGCTAGTCTTCCTGGAATCCCAGCTGCACAATTTTGTTTTCTTAAAGTAATCCCTGCATCCAACGTGGGGCTCAAAGTCTCAAGTCCAGGATCAGGAGCTGTGCGCTCCGGCCAAAGCCACCCAGGCGCCCTGTGGGAGTGCACTCCAGGCTCTCCAGGCCGCCGATCGCACCCTTCCCCCAGTTACACCTATTTTCTCCAGAACCAATATCCAACTTAGCCATTTCTTACTCTTTTTATTATATTAATATTTCATTATCGGAACCCCCTATTATTTTGCATTATTCACGTTTACATCCATTTTTTCTTTTAGATACTATATTCTCCAAAGGTGTATGTTATTTATTTTTCAGTTTACAAAACATCACTTCAGGACCAAGTTACTTGGGCAGTTAAGTGCCTGAAGAATGTTGCTGGGCACTGAATACAGGCTACAGCAGTAATTAGGGCGGCTTTTATTGGCTCCTGGGAAGTCACTATGTACTCTGCTATCTCTATAAGGAAATGTGTTTCAAATACTGGAAAAAACAGTCCAGTATGATTCTGGAATACTCAACTGGGATACTACCTACAGTGTGCCAAGAAAGAAAACAAAATTACAAAATCACTGTGTAAGAGTTCACCTTACTTTTATCCTCCTCCCTAAATTCCGGGCATTTAAAGGCCAATGCTCTTCCGTCCTACGCATTTGTGCCATCACCAGAGCTCCTCACCACCGTATTTACCGGGCCTGCACCAAGGCTGCGGCAATTAACACAAGACTCAGGGCCAACGGCAGCAAGACTGGAGACGAGCTCGTTTCAGATGGGGAGAGTGCAGTGAAGACAAACTGTGATGTGGGGAGGGGTCTAGGCGGGTGCTCAAAGAAGACCTGAGTGTAACTGGAGCAGGAAAGAGTGCAAGAGGCCCCAGAAGCAGCTCTGGCTGGAGGTAAAGGCAGTGTGAGTGGTGTGAGCACAGACCCTCAGAGGTGAATGAGCCAAAGGGGTGCAAGGAGAGACAAATGGGGCTAGAGCGTGGCAGGAAGGAGGGCTGTGGCAAGAGACTGTGCTCGGCTGTAGGTACCCAAACCATGAATGGAGCCCCCTCCTCTTACCTGGGCTGCAACGGTGTGTGATCTGGTAGGAAAGAGCTTTGTGACACAGGCCGTTTTAAACCCAGCCTCGGAAAGGCCAAACGCAGCTCGCAAGCCTGCCCCTCCAGCACCAACCACCACTGCATCAAATTCATGGTCCACCACTGGATACTGCGTAGAAATCTGGGAAGGAACAATTCACCTATCAACCAAGGACTGTGGGTGCAGCACAAGAGCTTGGAGAAAACAGAACCGGCAATGAGAACAGCTTCGGCAAAGAGGGACCTCCACCCTGTGGGGCCCCACAGAGTGTGACGGGGGCAGCCCAACGGACAGGGCCAACACACAGAGTAGCCAAAAGGACAGCACTCGTCCTAGCACCCGGGAAACTTAAGAGGGACAGCCTCGGGGCGCCTGGTGGCTCAGTGGGTTAAGCCTCTGCCTTCGGCTCAGGTCGTGATCTCGGGGTCCTGGGATCAAGCCCTGCATCAGGCTCCCTGCTCAGGGAGCCTGCTTCCCCCTCTCTCTCTGCCTGCCTCTCTGCCTACTTGTGATCTCTGTAAATAAATAAATAAAATTAAAAAAAAAAAAAAAAAAGAGGGACAGCCTCAGCAAGAAACTGTAGATGCAAAGAACAAACAACACAAATCAAAGTATTAGTTCTAAATATGGCTTTTCTATTCAATTATCTTTTCATGTTTGTAGCAATATATACACACGTATGTTTATGGGACTCTAAGCTCACAGTGCAGTGTAGACCATGATTTCCCACCTGCGATCAGCAAGATTCCCGTGAGGATGTTAACATGGTGTTTCCCTCAGATAAGCACATTTCCGGTCCACCTGGGCAACCACCTCAGCACTGAGGACCAGAGCCCTGTCTCAGGACCATGCTTGTGCTTGCTTGAGATGGGGCCCACCAGCAGTCAGTAACTACTGGAGCTAATGAGAAAGACCTGTGAACAAAATGTGTCCCCGGCAGAGAACAGACGGGACCAGTGAACACAAAGAGGCTGCACTCAAGTGGCTTCACGGTCCTGTGTCATCTGGCACAGTAAAAAGGGCTCATCTGTTACTTGTGTTTTATTATTTTGCTGCTGTGACTTAAACCTTACTCTGGCTCATAGATGCCTACGAACTACAAGCAGAAAGTGCTGGTGACTGTTCTTACACCTGTACCACAACTAGGTGCTATACACTAACAATAATTTGAGCACCACTGGAATGAGAATTTTTTCCTTTAACAGGAACTGTGTATTATTCAAATGTACTGAAAACTGGTATAGATCATTACTTTCTGGACCAAGGATGTCATTTTTAAGGGAACAAAAGTTGTAAACTTACTGAATCGGAAACTTTAGCAGAAGACCTTTTATTCCCGTCAACAGTGAAGTGAAAACCGCGGGTGCCGGTCTGCCATGTCGCTGGCCACTGCTGAGACACAGATGGAGAGCATTAAGTGTCTTGAACAAGAAGGATCGGCCATCAGGATCGGCCATCAAAATCGCCCCTGAAGTCATTAACCCTTTCAGCACCCAGGTGCTCCCTCTTCACCCAGACAGCTTAGCTGGGGTCCTCTACTTAATTAACCCTGATGGGTACGGAAGGACTAAGGACCCAGGCCAGGCCTAACTGGCACGGACTTGGCACCCCAGGAAAAGCCCTCCTAAACGAAGTTTGTTTCCAAAGAGGACACTCACAGACTCAGAGAGGAAAAGGAACAATTTCACATTAATTTCTTAATTTAGGGTTCTTCATAGAGAATGGGAAAGGTATCTATTTTTGCTCAAGTGGCAGTTTGTGAACAATGAAGCACTTTTACTAGATGGGTCGGCGGCTCTCTTCACCCTAGAGCACCACACAGCTTCAAGGCCATGCAGTTCACCGGAACCGGCGCTAGACAGCTGTCGGAAACGCCTTTCCTAGAAGACGCTGTCTGGTTGTGCGGCACCTGGGCACCAATGGGATCAGCCCTTCACTGTTAACGCCAGGACCCCACGCCTAGAGACGCTCACAGTCTTGCTTCCCCACTCTCCACATCCGTGCTAGGCTCCAGGGACGTCCCCTCTCATCTGTCCCAACTCCATGGTGGTGTCCCTCTGTCTTTGACACGTATCTCTGGCCTTTCCCTGGCTAAACCCTACAACTCTCCAAGTTTGGGCTTAAATGCCCCCCCCCATAAACACTCACTCAAGAAAAGTGGTATTAATGAAATCAAAGCCCAACATGAGGCCACATTCTACATACATGAACCAATTTATGAGTCCTGTCTTTCCACTCTGCTGACTGCATCTTAGAAAACTACGAATAAAATAAAATTTTAGCAATCTCATAAAGAACAGTTTTAGGAATTAAGTACATTTCACAGTGACAGAAGGGATACGAGAGATGTTTTAAGTATTCTGCCATTTGGAAGAGACGGTATTTATTCTGTGGGGTAAAAAAAAAATTTATTCCATAGGACAAACGTGGGGAATACACGAAGGGGAACAGCAGAATGCAAAACGAACCCTAACTGAGCAGTTTTGAACTGAAAGACTTCCTTCCGAGATTAAGGGACTGAGGCCAAGGCGGGCGGGCTTGGCCACTTGCAAAGTGCAGGTGCCTCCAACCTCTAGGCTTCCTCCAGCTCTGAGTGAAATGACTGACACAAACAGTTGACTTAATGCTAACTCTCCATTACAAAGAATCTGTTGGATTTCTAAGTAGATCTGAACTGATAAAAGCAATATTCTTGAATTCCCCAATTTCAACTTTAAATACATTTGCTTTTATTGACATAAGCCAATTTTTTCTTTCAGAAAATTTAAAAACTAAAAAGAATATTCTTGTTTTAGAATAATTTAAAAATTGGTAAAATCACATCTTAAAGAAGTCAAAGAATTTTAATACAAATGTTCTTGAAAATTTTATGAAGTACAATATAAAGGTAACAGTTCCAGAAAGAACAGTACCTTTTGCAATACCAAACTAAAATTAAAACAGAAACAGTGAGCACCCCCCACCAGCTGAGTGGGGAGGTGAGGCCATGAACGCAGCACACCTGTCCCCCTCATCTTCTCCAGGAGACCCACCGGCTCTAACCCCATAAACGAAGACACCTTGAAGCTATATGGGAACTGCAACGACCCGAATGGCTACGGATGGTTATAAAGCTGTGACGGTACAGGGAGAGACCGATCCTGCTACAGGAACGACCATGAACCTGGCCAACCTCAAGTGTGTCTGGAGGAGGCAATTATGAAGACTGGTGACCCTAAGAACCTGCATGTGGATGGGCCATGTTTGCAGCTGCTGTAAGCACAGCAGAAAAGGTAGCCGTATGTATCTGGGAAAACCGCCAGAAATTTCTTCCTCTGGGCGTTCTTCATCAAGTAAAAGTATACAAAACTGACAATAATACGGTCATCTATAAAAGAGAATAGCTTTTAGGGGTTAATACTGTAGAAAGAGTAACTTCTTTCCATATTTGAAAAAGGTTGGTGGGTGGGTAGGTAGGTTGGTTTATTTACTTATTTATTTTAGAGAGAGAGAGAGAGTGTGTGTGAGTGTGGAGCCTCATGTGGGGCTCAATCCCAGGACCCTGAGACCAGGACCCGAGCTGAAACCGAGAGGCAGAGGCTTAACTGACTGAACCACCCAGGCGCCCCTTGAAAAAGGTCTTTATCCTCCTGGACTATCAAGAAGTCTTCATGTAACTGTTGTACTTCCACACTGTATTCCGGAGTGCCTGATGGATTGAAATCATTGTACGTAAGACCTGTTGTGAATTCAAATCTATAAAACCAAACTTGTAAAACATCCCGAGCATCATTTAGAGTCTTTTATCAACAGATTAAAAATCACTTCATTTTCAGAAAAACGTGGTATGGAATTTAAAGGCAAAATAAATCCATTTTTGTCCTTCCATTCTCTCGTTTGTAGTATTGTGTTTTTCTTGGCATAATGCAAAAAGCAAACATGTCTGTAAGACTTACAGTAGGTGAAACTTAGAATACATGTACATGTGATGGCACCGTCTGGAGACAAAGACAACATTCACTTCTTCCTTGATGCCGTTTAGAGGGTTCACTCAGTGAAACAAGACACACACCAATCGCCCCGGCCACGTGCTGGAGGCGGATGCACAAGGACACACCATGCCTGGGCACATCGCTTGGCGCACTTCTGCACAGCCTGCTCGTGAGGAACAGCACAATCACTGAACATGTGTCGGGAGCGTCAGGAAACTGTTACACTCGTCTGTTTCCAGACCTTTACGGCCACCCGTACAATCCCAATTCAGAAAACTGAAGAATACTCCTATGTATCAAATCCCGTGACATAAGCAACGCGGAAGGGTGTGTCGTACTGTAGAGCATCTCTTACGTACAGGTTTTCCTCATCGATCCCATTTTGTTCTGGTCATTAAACTCACCCGCTTCAGCTGAACTATAAAATCAATGAAACAGAGACCGTGAGATTCTGTGTTTCTTCTTTTTAGAATGTTCACGTTGAATAAGGACAGACACACATACACACGGGGCAGCTGTTATAACGAAATCTTTCACAAATTATCACACCATCTCTCTGTGGAAAACAGTGTACCAGCTTTTCATCTGAATCCGATTTGAGGAGCAATTTTACAGTTTCGAGAGCCCAATATTAACCCAATTTGTCTTTAAACTCTTTCTGTGCCTCTAACATTTTTTGAAGTAAAACTATCAAACAGGACAACACAGAGAAGAATAAGGAACTCTCCCCCAGGGGTAGAAAAGCAGAAAGGGAGAAAAGGCAGGAAAGCACAGGTGAATTAATGAGACAGTGAAAGGAAGAAAAAAGTGAAAAGTGTGGAATCTAGCAAAGTGGGGTGTCCTCATCTAGTAACATACACATGCAATCACAAAGAAGAAACTCATCTCTACAGTCAGAAAAGCAGCCCATAAAGGGTCTGAAAGTGGTTGCGTGACCACATTGGAAGGACGATGTGGGAAGTAAGACGGTTTGCGTGAACTAAATCCTCATTTTAAGTACAGTGTGTCTTATGCCTAGGACATAAGTCTATGTCCGAAATGGGTAAAAATACACCTGCGTATTAGCTAGAAAAACGGAGGTAAACACCAGGGGCCAATAACAGAAATAATTCAGAACTGATTCCACCGGGGAACAGGTCTGGGGAAGGAGACGGGTCTTACTCCTTTAGCCTTCTGTACTCCTTGACTTTCCCCCCCCCACAACTAAGTGTAATTCTTTTTATCAAAAAAAATAAAAGTTTCTAAAACAGGGATGCTTAAAACAGTTCCCAAGATGACCACGAGCGGGCTGCCAGCTGCAGGCTGGGGCTCAGAGCATCACGCCAGGGTTTCACGGGTCCTCTCAGAGAATCCTCGTTAAGCCCACAGGAAAGGAAGTCTACCCAGGGTCTGGACTCCGGCCTCCCCGGCTGGCACCAGGTTTCGTACATTCCCCCAGATAAGGAGCCTTTGGAAAAATCCCTGCAACTAAAATCAGATGCATAACCTGATCACGTATCAGAACCAAGCCACGGTTTTTCAAGCAAACCAGGAAAAACACACAGAACACAGAACTGAACGCCACTGCAGTATGATTACCCAAGAAGCAAAATGAAGGGTTACTACCATGGCCTAAGTAATGTAATTCTAGATACACTGCTCAAACGAATTCAGAACAGTTACGTTCAAAGGAAAGAAACGGGCTTACTCTAGACCCGCGCCCTGGATTTCCACTTCAAGAGTCTGAGAAATCTCATCTGAGGCGGTTAACCGGCACCGACCTCAGATCCTCGGGTGCACTTTTCCTTCCCCTACACTAGTTTAAACCGTCTGCAAACGCCATCCGTGCTTGGGGTAACCACAAAATGTTGCAACGTGAAAGCAGCTTCAGTGTGAAACGACTTGGAAACACCACAGACTTGAACAAAATGAGATGAAGAAAAATTCTCCGTGGATTTTGTTCAAACTGTCTTCAGCGTGTCCTGTCCAGGCACAGATCTCGGTCGGTGATCAGACGTTTCGTTTTTGTTGTGGCGACGGATGCTTCTGCCAATCCTGACGCCACAGAGCAGACGGCTGGGACGGGAAAAGCTCTCCGCGTCACGAGGAAGACTTTCGGGGCGCCCGGCAGGCTCAGTGGGTTAAGCCTCTGCCTTCGGCTCAGGTCATGATCCCGGGGTCACGGATCGAGCCCCGCGTCGGGCTCCCTGCTCAGCGAGTTGCCTGCCCCGCCCCCGCGCCCCGCCTCTCTGCCCACTTGCGATCTGTCAGATAAACAAATAAGTGGATTTTCAAAAATTTAAAAAAGAAAAAGAAAGAAAGATAAAGACTTTCGACGCCCAAGGCCGGCTTCCAGCAGGCCCCGGGGGGCTCCGTCTTGCTGGTCGGTCTTGCCCTCAGAGCACACGTCCCCGAGCCAAGGGCTGCGGCGCAGACCCGGGCCCTGGTCGTGAAGGGAAAGCGGCTGCAGCGACCGGCGGCCCGACCAGGACCGCGTGGAAACGAAGCCGACGCCGCGTTCGGAGCCGCCCTGCGGCGCTGCAAGCCCAGCGGGAAGGACGATGACCCCGGCAAGCGTCGGCGGGGGCGGCTTGTCTCCACAGCGCCCGGCAGGCACCGCTCCCGGCAGGGAGCCCCGCGGCCTCCACCGCCCGCCCGCCGGCGCCCTCCGAGCGTTCCCGGAGACCACGACGGGCCGGGAGGCGGCGACCTCCGCTCAGGGCGCAGCCGGCACAGCCCCGCGCACCCGCACCAGCCCGGCCCGCAGCGCCGGCGGCCTCCGCCCCGCACACCCCGAGACCAAGCGCTCTGCGTCCCCTGCGCCGCCGCAGCCCCGCGGGGTGGGCTCTGAGGGCGGGACCCGGGACCCAGCCCGGGAGCGCGGGGTCCACAGCGCACCCCGCGGCCCCGCACCGCGCGCGGGAAGCCGGCTCCTGGCGCGCTCGCCCCAGCGCGGACCCGCAACACCCGGAGCCGGGCCCGACCCGCGCCGGTCCACGCGCTCCCCGAAGCAGCCGCTTCCGCCGACAGCCCCATCGCGGGGGTCACGCGCCTCCCGCCGACCCGCCCAGGTCTGAGGGCGCTTCCGGACCCCGAGGCCCGGGGCACCCGCGGCCGCTCCACGTCCGAGTGACCTTGGCCGAACACGCCTCCCCGTGAGCGGAAGGCTCGGGCGGGGCGACGCTAACCCTTGAGCCCCCGAACCTCCGGCGGGGGAAGCGGCCCCGGGGCGGCACGCGGGGTCGCGACCTTCACCGCGACGCAGCCCCGCGGGCCTCTGAAAACGTCCAGCCGCCCTCGGGGTCGGCCCCACCCCTCCGGCGACCTCCGCGGGGGCCCGCAGACCCGCCTCAGGCCGTGCCGGGGCCCAGGGAATTCGGCAACCGCTTCCCCCCGCGGGCACCGTCCTGCCCCGGGGACCTCGGCCCCGCGCCCGCCCGCTTCGCGGCGCCAACTCACCGCCCTAGACAGTGCCAGGCGCCGGGCGCCCAACAGCCGAGACACCGCCCGGATACCCGACATGTCCGTCCTCCACAGCGCGGTCCCACCAGCCCCCGCGCCTGACCGCGCCTGCGCATCTAGTCGCGCCCGGGCCGGGGACGAGGGGACACCGCGCCTGCGCACCACACCGCGACCCCGGGCGGGGGGGGGGGGGGGCATTGCGCCTGCGCACAGGAACCGCGGACGGTGGCGCTGAGCGGGTCGGTCGCTCTCCGCCCGGGGGTAGGTGGAGGGCCGGGCGGTGTTCGGGAGGGGCCGGGGGGTCGGTGTGGGGGCCCGGCGTAGGTCGGCGGCCCAGGGAGAAGTCGGGGAGAATGGGTGTAGTTCGGGGTCGGGAGAGCTCCGGGGTGGGTCGGGGGTCGGAGCAGGTCGGGGCGCCGGGCCGTGTTGAGGGGCTCCGGGGGTGGTCGGGGGTCGTGGGGGCTGGGGGTGGCTCTGGGATAGGTCAGGCCGCCGGGCCGGGTGTCGGGGTGGGGGCGGGCGCCCGGGTGACACCGGGAGCCGCAGCGGGGGCGCCGGGCCGGGTCTGGGTCAGCTCCCCGGCCCAAGGGTCTTCGCGGACTCGCCTGATCGCGACCCCGGCCGTGAAGGGTGAGCGCCGCGTGTGTGTGTGTGAGCTGAACGTGACGTGACCCCGAACCCGGCCCGGAATCTCCCGGGGGGCCCGGTGGGAGGTAGACTGTCCTCAGGCCCGTGTTTCGCTTTGCGTCGTGAGGACCCTGCACGGCGGGGGGCCGGTGCGCTCCTCGTTGCTTGACTTTTCCCAGGATCTGACGGAATGAGCGCAGCAGGGGAGCAGCGGGCGCCCCCGAGCAGCCCCCCCACCCCCGCTCTATCCCAGGACTGGATCGTGACCTGAGCTGAGGGCAGAGCTTAACCACCGAGCCCCCCAGGCGCCCTATTTTATTCCCTTTTAGGTTGTTTCCAGGATCTTCGTCTTACTGAGGGTTAGGTTGACTTTGTGGGCCCGCAGGAAATGAGGACGAGTCTGCGTAGACTCCGTGGGGAGTTGTGCGGTTGTGCACTTTCAGATAACTAAGTCTCATTGCTTCGTTGAGGCAAACTCCTTAACCCGGTATTTTTGGCATTTCTTTATTGCCAGTTAGAATTTTATATTTTTAGGTGTTAAGTCCTTATTGAAAACGCTCTTAAAATTTTTCAGAATGGATTGGGTTCCTTTTTTGTTAGTAAGCCTCGATCGTTTCCTTCGTAATCAGTGTGTATTGTTCGGGGCCATCACGTAGAAGTAAGTTGAACGTCTCATCGCTCTGTTTTGTGGACGTGTCCGACCTAGTGTGGGTTCTTAGTAAATCGGTAGGTCCGTGTTAGCTTGAGACCCCAGCCCCGTTACTGAGAGAAAGCAGAGCTTTAAGCAGAAACATCTGTCCTTACGGTGAAAATGCCACCAAAGTCAGGAGGCGTGAGAGACTTCCTAGCACTGACCCCCATCCTGGCGACACACCTCTCCGTGGCCTCGTGGGTCATCATTTCCTGAAGCGGCCAGTGTTTGCTTTCACACCTTCCTGCTGACATGTCTTGTGTCCAGCCGCGCTGCGAAGCTCTGTGTAGCGGAGATCTTCCCTCACGGGCCTCATGTTTCACTTGAGACCTCTCTCTCCCGCCTGCTGTATCCCGATACTGTCTGAGGCCTTGTGTTTTCCTCTTTCATCTTGTAAGGCTCAGTGCTACGCAGCTCGTGGGTGGACCTGAGCCAAGTACATGGTAACAGTTGTGACAGATGTGTCCTGTCGTTTTATGTGGTTAATGGTTTTATTATTTACTTCAAGGTACATCTCCATGAATAACTTAAATGACCCCCCAAATTGGAATATCCGACCTAATTCCAGGGCTGACGGGGGTGATGGAAGCAGATGGAATTATGCCCTGTTGGTTCCAATGCTGGGATTGGCTGCTTTTCGTAAGTCATGGTTTTCCTCACATTTGCATTTGGGGGGGGGCTGGAACTGTGGATCCCAAAGACCTTGGGCTTTGGAGCCTGACAGATGCAAGTGTACGTCCTAGTGTTACCCCGTGTGGTGAGTCTGAAGCAAATTACTTAATCCCCTGAGCCTCGGGTCCCCGTCCCCATCCACGGAAGCGCTGTGAGCGCTGAACAAAACAAGGGGCTTGCCGGGGCGGGCTTTCGTAACGGGCCCCGCTCCATTCCACACTTCCCATTCTGGAGGGGGCTCTCGGTTCAGTCGTCCTCATCAGGACCGACAGGGAAGAAGAAAATAGGTGTAAACAAACCAGTTGGGTCCTCTGTTTCATGTTTAGGGAGTCAGTCTTAGAACCTCTGCTCAGCCTGGCCAGCTTCTCTCCGGTCTGCATGCCACTTTGGGGAAGTCACCAGTTTCCGGTCAGTTATAGTTATTCCAGCCCTAAGCTTTTATTTTCCACTTCATGATAGTTTTCTGACGTCCAGGAATTGGTTTCATGTTTTGTCAGACCCCACGGTTTTGGGCGCACCAAAGAGTACGAGAAACTGAGTAAGAGAATGGAAGAAAAGCACAGCTGTCCTCAGTTTGCAGCGATACTTTTGTGGAGACTTATTTTATGTGCTTGGATTTCTCAGGTCAGCAGACTTCCTCAGAGGGGTGAAGGCTAGGGAGAAGAGCGTTTATCGACTGTTCGTTTATCCGCGTTTACTGTCGGCGGGGCGGGGAGGCTGCTTCACACCCATGTTTGGCGATGTAATTTCTGTTTGATTATTTACTTATCTCTTGGAGGGGCGACCTGTGGAGAGGGAGAGAGAGAATCTCAAGCAGGCTCGCCAGTGAGTGTGGAGCCTGATGCAGGCAGGGCTCGATCTCACAACTCCGGGATCATGACCCGAGCCAAAGCCAAGAGCCATCCAAGTGCCGCTTGGCAATGTAATTTCTAAACTGTGCAGTAAGACATTTTTGGAGACTCCTTACAAGAATGCAGAGGTTAAAGTTTCTGTGATCATGCTAGCTAAGCAAGACAACGAAGAAGAAGATACAAAATATTCACTGATTCTTCTCAGGGACAGAAAGGAACGTTTCAGAAGTCCAAGAAGGCAAGAACTTCAAAAGTGAAGGTTGTTACGAAAGGCCATACAAGTTAGAGTCTGGAAAACAAAGGGAACATGGGAGTCGCCCCAGGGCCTGTCCCAGCCTCACGACTAATTAGTCATTGTTAGTCAGTCCTGTTAAGCCTCTCAGTTCCCTCACCAGGTTCATCACCCTGGCCACAGGCGAGGGCAGCGAAGGGTAGGGAGAGCTTTGACAGACGGCAGGCTGCTGAGCTTCTAAGTGGCACGACCTGTGCGGCTGGGTTTGGATCTATCCGGTCTGTCACCTAGGAGCAGGCACTGTACACATCACGGAATCGTAAAAAGCACCCGCTCTTCTCAGCCTCCATGGGAGTCGGCGTTTAGCTTTTTAAGAACGTGCCCAAACGGTTTCCAGAGTGCTGGGACCATTTTGCAGCCTCATCAGCACCGTGTGAGCTCACTGTTGGCTTGGAATTGGGCCCATTCTGGTTTCTGTTCCATTTCCCTGAGCGTGGCTAACGTTGACCATCTTTCACATTCCTGTTTGCTGTTACAGCCTCCTCCACAGCGTGTCTGTTCCTGTCTTCCGGCCATTGCCTAATTGCATTGTGTTTGGGGTTGAGTTTTGAGAGATTTTTATTAGATGCTAGTATTTTTTTGGCTGTCTAGTTTGCCAGTATCTTTTTCCACTCTGTAGATTGTTTTTTTGTTTTGTTTTGTTCTCTAAATGGAGGCTTTCACAGAGCGAAGGTTTTAATTTTGATGAGTCCAGTCTTGTTTTTTTCTTTCATGGGTCATGCTTTTCCTCCTGAGAGCATTTTGCCTAGCCCTAGACCCTGAACGTTCTGTCCCACATTGTTTCTTGAAAGTTTAGTTTTATGTTTTACACGTAAGTCCATGATCCATTTTGAGGTTTTTGGTTTTTGGCTTTTTTTTTTTTTCAGTATAACATATGGGACTTGGGTTTTCTTTTTTCCTTTCCAGGCTGTTTGCCTTCTATTTCCTCTTCTGTTACTTGCTTTCTTGCACTGGCTAACGCCTCCAGGCCTCCACTGAGAAGTTCCGTTGGATGGGAGGAACTTTCCGTCTTCACCATTAAGGGTGGTGTTAGCTGTGGGCTTTCATAGCTGTTCTTTGAAGGCACGGAAGCTCCCCTCAGTGTTATTTTATTTCTTGAGTTTTTTCCCCTGTGGGTGCTGAATTTTATCACACGTTTTTCTGTATCTGTTGACAGGACCGTATGATTTTTCTTCTTCAGACTATACATATGTTGATTGATTTTTGACTGTTGAACCAGTCTTACGTTTTTGGAATAATCTCCGCTTTGTGGGGGTGGGGAGCTTAGGTCGCGCATGATCTCATGGGTGGTGGGATCCAGCCCCATCTCTGGCTTTGAGCTCAGCAGGGAGTCTCCTGGAAGATTCTCTCCCTCTGCCCCTCCCCTGCTCCCATGCGCTCGGTCTTGCTCTAATATAAATAAATAAATCTTCAAAAACTAATCTCCAGGGGCGCCTGGGTGGCTCAGTGGGTTAAAGCCTCTGCCTTTGGCTCAGGTCATGATCTCGGGGTCCTGGGATAAGGCCCTGCATCGGGCTCTCTGCTCAGCGAGGAGCCTGCTTCCTCCTCTCTCTCTGCCTGCCTCTCTGCCTGCTTGTGCTCTCTCTCTCGCTCTCTATCAAATGAATAAATTTAAAAAAACGTAATAAAAAAATAAAAATAAAAACTGATCTCCACTTGGTAATGGCATATGATCCTTGTTACGTGTTGTGGACCTACTTGTGCCCGTCGCCCGCCCAGGGTGTTAGGTCTGCTCATGTGGGGTTGTTACTCCAGCCCTTCCGCAGGGTTCGTCTTCACGTTTACCTCGGCATCACGTTTTCTACGTCAGTTACTGTATTTTTCCAGTTCAAAACCTTCATGTGCTTGTTTTTGTATCTCCTTTTTCTGTGCTCAGGCTTTGTGTTATCATGTCTGCTTTTCACTCTTCGTCAGGTGCCTGAGTGGCTCAGTTGGTTGGGCGACTGCCTTTGGCTCAGGTCATGATCCTGGAGTCCCGGGATCGAGTCCTGAGTCTAGCTCCCTGCTCAGCGGGGAGTCTGCTTCTCCCTCTGACCCTCCCCACCTCACACTGTTTCTTTCTCATTCTCTCTCTCAAATAATAAAATCTTTAAAAAAAAATAATAAACTCTTTGTCAGGTAACACTAACATCTCTGTTCCCTCAGTATTGGCATCTACGGATTATCTTTTTAAGTTCTGTTGGAGATCTTTCTATGACGAGTGATCTTCGACTGAAATCTCTGTGTTTTGGGCATTATGTTATGAGACTGACCTTTATTGGTACATTCTGTGACTAGCTTTGTGGCTGGGGCTCTGGCAGGGGAGGGTGGTGTTGAGGCCTCACTCCCAGGTGGGGATGGAAGCCCAGGCTCCCCAGTCAGCCTCTGGTCCCCAGACACCAAGAGGAAGGGTCCCCTCATCACCTCTGGGCAGGAGTGGGGGTGCAGCTCCCGCAGGTTTCCACTGCTGCTCCCTAGCTAGGAGAGGTAGGAGGGTCTGGCTTCTGCTCCCCACTTGGCCCCCTCTGACACCACTCTCAGGGGAACAGGAGGGGCTCCCATCGGCCTTTGCCCACTGGCTGGGGAATGGGGCCACAGTGACTGTGCTGTTTGGCCTGAACGGTGTAGTTACTGTTGAAGTTCCCTGTCTTCCTAGGCCACCCTAGTAGCCCCTTGGCCAGAGAGAGCAGACCTGTGCTGGGGCTTTTTGAAAGAAGGTCTTCACCATTGGCATTTCAGCTCCAGGTGGGGAAAGGATGAGGGAAACTGAACCCCCAGGTGATTCCCCCACCATAGTGTTCCTCAGGCCTCCAGCTCCCTTGCCGGCCTGCCCGAGGTTCTCCCCCTTTAAGAGCCCCCTTGTGTTTGTCCTACTTAGAGTGTAGGGTTTGCAGGGCAGGAAGAATGGGAAAGAGTACTTCTGTTCCATTCCCCCGAAAGCAGGAGCCCCCTCTCTTCTCTGCCTTTGGAAACTGGGGCTGTGCACAGTTGTGTCTGCCCAGAGTCCTAAGGCAGCGTTCTCCAGGATCAGACCCAGACTTCAGGTTTTTCCCTTCTGCTTCCACACTTTCCTCTGCATACCTCTGCGGTAATCTCCCCTGTGTCTGTCCCACCTCTTCCTGGAGGCCTTCCTGATTCAGTGGACTTCCCGTAAACACAGCCTGGGCTGTGTGGTCTGGCGTGCAGTTCTGTGTGTCCTGTATCAGTTGCCACATGTTCCGCGTGTCGGTGTGGCATCTCCGTTAGATCATCCCTGGGTTAAGGTGGGAGTGGCCGCCTCTGCCCCTGCCGCCACCTCTGATCGTCCACTTCCTCCCAGAGCCGATGAGGACTTCTGCTGTTCCGCACCTGCTCGCTTCCAGAATGTGCCCCCGCTCCTTGCTGGAAGCCCTGCACCGAGTCCAGGAAGCAGTCTGCTCAGGACACATGATGCCCCCTTCTCTCCCTGTTCCTTCTGCCTAGAGGGACCTTTCCTACCAGCTGCTGCTTGTTTTGCCAGACTGGTTCCCATTCACCTCTTTCGTGAACCCCACCCGACCGCACCCCAGACCGAATTCGTCCTTCTCTCCCCCGCTTCTCACAGACCTCTCAGTGCTTAGCAAATGCTACTGCGACAGCTGCCCGCGTGGCCAGTTCCCCTGTCTGTGCGCTTCGGTGAGGGGAGGAGATGGAGGCTGGAGATGCTTTCGAGTTTCCATTACCCGTAGGACTGGACGCTGTTTTCCGTTGAGGAAGGGATGCGTTTGGTCTTAGCTTACAGAGTTGGGGCGGTACCAGCACTCAAGTGGAAAGGACTTTCAGGCACACGCAGATACGCCTCGGAGGGCGACTCCCGGGAGACATGGGTGGGGGACCCTGAATGGCTAGGACACCACCTTGAGCGTTGGGGAGGGAAAAGGAGCCTCCCCGGCACTGGATTTCTCCATGTAGCAGAGGACAGAGGCCCAGCTGCTCCTCAGTCCGTCCCACGTTTCCGAGAGTCGAGTGTCCCTGGTTTGGGGAATGGGAGCCTGACCGTGTCTGGAGCGCGAACGTCTCCTCCCGATTTTTATGTGCCCTTGTCAGACTGGAAGCAGGATGAGCAGGCAAGTCCGCATGCACTTTGCAATCACTCAGTCTGTAATCACCGCTGACCTTCCGGAAGCACAGCAGGTGGCCCTTTAGACCTTGGCACAAGGATGCGGGGCACTGTGGCCAGAGCAGGCATTGCGGTGAGTTTGAGAGCAAAAGAAAGCGGTGCTGGATTATTTCAGCCGTAGAAGATGAGGAGGCTGGAAGGGGAAAAGTCAGCAGCCCTGCTGTCCTTTGGGGGCTCTTACCTGGTTTTAAGCTAAGGATTTTGATTAATATATGGTTTCCTACAAAGTGTTATCCATACCTTTCAGGGCTTAAGATTTTATTGAAATGCTGTTCTTAGCTGCTTTGTATTTTTTCAAAATCAGGATTACAAAACCTCCCCTCTGACTTTCCGTTGAGTGTGTTTTCTCCCCCAATTTATTCCTGTCAGGTTGGATTTGGTCCAGGGAGTCCCAGAAAGAAGTAGAAAAAGAGAGAGAAGCGTACCGTCAGAGAACAGCTGCTTTCCAGCGGGATCTCGAAGCCAAGTACCACGCGGTGATCTCAGAGAACCGGCGCGCCGTGGCTCACTTGTCTTTGGAGCTCGAGAAGGAGCAGCACAGAGTGGCTAGTTACCGAGAAGCACTTATCTCTCAGGGGCGCAGGTTGGTAGAAGAAAGGAAGCTTCTGGAACAGGAGCGGGCTCAGGTCATGCAAGAAAAGAGACAGTTGCAGCCTCTGAGCAGTGCGTATCTGAGCTTCCTGGAGAAGGAGGACGACTGGCAGAGGAGGGCCAGGCTTGTGCTGAAGGAGTTCGAGGATGCCCTGACGGAGAGACAGAACATCTACTGCAGCCTGGTCCTCCCTCGCGGCAGGCGGCTGGAAATCGAGAAGAACTTACTGGTCCGAGCGTCCACGGACCCGGTAGCCGCGGAGCTGCAGGTGGCGGCCGGCCTGACCGACATATTCCAGCACGACACCCACTGCGGCGGCATCTGGAACACCAGCCGGCGCCGGAATGGCAGACTCATGTGGCTGTATCTCAGGTACTGGGAGCTGAGCGCCGAGCTGAGGAAGCGTCAGCGGGTCGAGGCCGCCATCCTGGGGGACTGGCCGGAGCCCCGCACGCCTCCGGCAACGCCCTGAGGCCCCCGGTGCTGCCGCGCTGGTTCCTCCTGGCCCGGGCGCCTGCGGCTGCCTTCACAAAGGGGCCGCGTCCTCGCCCGCCCCGTCCGCACGGGGCGCCGGGTCTCCTCCTTGGCCCTCTTCAGGATGCAGGTTCCCGGAGGACTTCTCTGAAGCTGTGCCGTGGTATGAGGCTGAGCAGTATTACACACCCTCCTGCCTTCGCTGTAGGTAACACTGTTTTTGAGAAAGTCAAATAGAGCATCGACCCTCTCTGTAAGTAGTTTTCGGTCTGTTTTTGTCACTCCCTAAATAAATTCTGTTTTCTCCTCCAGTGACTTCTCTCTCTCCTAGAATTATAAATAGACGTTGTCAGGTAGTGGCTGGAACTGCCTAAGGACGACAGAAAATAGTAACATTATCAAGGTTTCCTGCGGGCATGAGCATCTCTCCCACCCAAGGCAGAGAAAGTGCTTCTTGTATGCGGTGGCGCCTGGGACGTGTGTGGGACTTGGCTTGTGTCTGTATTTAGTCAACATACGTTATTTACCAGCAACGATCTATAATAAAAAATTCTTGAACTTAAAAGCAACAGTGCCACCTCCGTGTGCAATTTACTTTACTCTTTATAAAATGTTTTTACGTAGATTATCTCCTTCTAGCCCAAACTGATCAAAGGTAGGCACTTGCCCATTTTCCACAAAGCTGTGGTGGATCAGCCTCTCACGTATCACCCCTGCAGGCCCAGTGGGGAGGATGTGCAGCAAAATCAGCAGAGAACGGGACACCTGGGTGGCTCTGACTTTGGTTCAGTTCATGATCTCAGGGTCCCGGGATCGAGCCCCCTGGGGAGCTCTGCTCTCTGCAGAAAATCTTGTTCCTCTGCCTCTGCTCCTGCCCCTGTTAATGCTCGCTTGCTCTCAAATAAATCAGTAAAATCTTCAGAGAGAAAATCAGCAGAGGGAAAGGCATGCGGGGCTGAGTGAGAGCGCTGTGCAGCTTCCGGAATCCTCTCCCAGGGGCCGCGGGACCGGAGTGCTCCCTCCCACCGCCCCCACCACCAGCAAGGAGTGTGAACTGTCCCCAGCCTGGGACCCCCAGAGACCGCCCGGGGCTGGTGTGGACGGCTGGCCATGTGGGTATCCTCTGCAGACTCCCAGAAGGAAAGCCGGCGTCCCCTCAAACTGCACATTTAGACACGGTGGGCTGCCCTTACTGGTCCGGGGCTGGGGGATCCTCCCCGAACCCAGGTTCCCCGTGCCACCCAGGGACCAGCCTTGCAGCAGGCTTGCAGGAGGCCCACGGCCTTTGCGTGCAGGGGAGGCAGCACGCCTGCAGTCAGGAGAGGCTGGGCAGTGCACGGCCCCAGAGCTCCCGGTCACTCAGCTGTTTGGGACCAAGTGGCCCAGCAGCAGCTGCATGGAGGCCCGCCTGCTTCGGAACCCAGTTTCCACCCGGGCCGCCTGCCTGTGGCAGGGAGACAAACTTAGAAATACTAAGCTGACAAAAAACTTCCTAATTGTAGGGGAATGTCAGAGCCGGGTTTGGTCTGGGGCCCAAAATGCTGAGGACTTCGGCCAGTGGATCCGCGTGGTTTAGGCTCACGTGTGGTTTTTAATGTTTGGAGCAATTTCAGAGACGAGGAAGTGGCTCAATGACCGTAAGGTCCCCCGTGGGGCTGGGGTCCGCGCCCCAGAGTCTGCTCTTAGCTGCCGTGCCCTGCACAAGACAGTGTCATGCTTTTCTCCTCCAACGGCTCCTTGGGTTACCTTTCTGCTCTACTGTCCCTGTCCCCACTTGATCCAAACAAAACTCACTCAGGTCAATCTGAACTGACAAGTTTCTGGTTGTTTGTACCATGTAGAGTGGTGTCTGTCTGGTCTCTGGCACTCCACGGACTCTCTAGGGACCCTTGGATAAACCACCTAATGCTTTGCCCTTGGTTTTGTCTGAAAAGGGAGGGACATTCGGGGGCCCCTGGGTGGCACAATGGGTTGAGCAGCTGACTCTTGGTTTTGGCTCTGGTCATGAGCTCAGGGTTGTGGGACCAAGCCCTGTGTCACGGAGTCTCTCTCTCCCTCTCTGCCCCCTCTCCCTTGTGCTCTGTGTCTCTCTTTCTCTGAAAAATAAGTAAATCTTTAAAAAAAAAAGGGGGGGGGGAAGGGGCACCTGGGTGACTCAGTAGTTGGGTGTTTGCTATCAGTTCAGGTCATGATCTCGGTCCTGGGGTCGAGCCCCACGTCGGGCTCCCCGCTCAGCAGGAAGCCTGCTTCTCCCTCTCCCACTACCCCTGCTTGTGTTCCCTCTCTTGCTGTGTGTCTCTGTCAAATAAATAAAATTTTTAAAAAAGAGGGAAATTCAGCCTGTCATTGACTCAGTAAATTTCAAGGTGAATTATTACTCTTTACCCTAGTTTCTAACGTCCCGCAGGCTGTGAGTCTAGCCTTGAGCAGCGTGGGGACTACGTCCTGAGAATTCAAGTCTGTTTAGACACTGGTTCGATACTGCAGAATCGGAAACTTGCTACAGGAAATTATGGTGGGCTATGTTTGCCTTTGCATAGCACCTCTGCCTTCTACGAGCAAGTTGAATTGAGGGTAATTTGATGCCATCCATCTTTTTAACATTGATTTTGTTAGGCTGGAAATGTGATGACTTCATAGATGACGTCGCCTCCATCGAGTCATTTGTGATGACATCACAACGGAGGTCTGGACTAAGTGACACGACGGTGGAGCGTCATTGAACTAAAAGCATTTGACTTGAGGAGAGGAACAGGAGCCGGGATCTGTTCGGTGTGTGTGTGCGGGGTCTGTGGGGACCCGGGAGGCGGACGCCGTTGTCCAGGCTGCTTTCTGGGTGGTCTGAGTAACTGAAACCTTGAGCCCGCAAGGCAAGGAGATGCTCCAGGGTAAAAGGGGCCAGGGCTGAGGCGAGGCCTGTCTTGAGGGAGCCTGTGTGCGCCAGTCAAGGGAAGGGGGCATTTCATGGCCTGTGATTTTAATTGATCTGGGGACCCTGTGGGTGGGGTTGTAGTAGTGACTTACACAGGAAGGGCTTTGGGGGGGAGTCACCCTCTGCTTTCTAACCATGCTTACTGTGAAAGCACCTATTTCAGGGTGTTTTACTTTGGAAAATGGTTGGAAGACACAGGGATTGACCTGGATGTCCCCAAAATAAAACAAGAAGCCAGCAGTGATTCTGTAAATTAATCCCACTCAGCTTTTTTGTTAAATATGCTTTTCCCCCTTGTAAAAGTTCATAGACGCAGAGAGTTCTCATATGTATTTCTTGTGTGTGTGTGTCTGTAATGCACGTGTGGACTGACAGATGAAGTGTTTGCTTTCATGGTGACAAAAGTAATCCTATGAACATTGCACCAATGACGCGATGTTATGACAGGGAAGGGACTTCACCAAAGAACCTGTGTGTTTTTGAAAAGGGAAGTTATGGACGCCTGGGGGGCTCAGTCGGTGAAGCGTCTGCCTTCGGCCCAGGTCATGGTCCCAGGGTCCCAGCATCGAGCCCCACATGGGGCTCCCTGCTTGGCGGGGAGCCTGCTTCTCCCTTTCCCTCTGCCTGCTGCTCCCCTTGCTTGCGTGCTCTCTCTCTCTCTGACAAATAAATAAAATCTTAAAAAAAAAAAAAAAAAAAGAAAGGGGAAGTTGCATCTAACTAAACTATGTAAGAGTATTTCTTTTTTTTTTTTAATATTTTATTTATTTATTTGACAGAGATGACAAGTAGGCAGAGAGGCAGGCAGAGAGAGAGGAGGAAGCAGGCTCCCCGCTGAGCAGAGAGCCTGATGCTCAGGACCCAGGACCCTGAGATCATGACCTGAGCCAAAGGCAGAGGCTTAACCCACTGAGCCACCCAGGTGCCCCCGTAAGAGTATTTCTGTGTGGGATGATGGTTCAAAGTCTGATTGCGGAACAGTTTGCCCAGATGACCTCTCTGAGTAGACGGAGGAGACCTCTTTGTCTTGGCTTCCGCTGTCTCTGTCTCGCTTTCTGGAAGCCAGTGTGCCCTAAACACAGGGGGAGGGGAGAAGGTTCGCGTGCTCTCTGGGGACCCCGTGATGGAGCGCAGGGGACAGCGCCCGGCGCAGGGGACCTCCTGAGCCCTGCAGAGACAGTGCTGGATGGTGGAGGCCAGAGAGACACCCCTGGGCCTCCTGGGGACAGCCCAGGCCCTGCGGTCGGAACTGCCGGGCCCGTGGTGAGCGGACGCTGTCGTCTTCCGCCGGTGACAGAAACGGCTGCGTTTCTCTCTGCAGCAGGACGCGGGCTGCGAGCGACTGAGAGCGACCGAGAGCCTCTCATCAAGCTGCCTGGGACAGCTTCAAGCGGGGTGTATTCGAGGACCCGTCGTGGAACCTCGAGGGCAGGAATGGAGCCGGCAGGCCGGGTCCTCAGATGGCCGGCACCGGCCGGGAACCTCGGAGCTGTGGTCTCGCGGGCTCGTGTCTGCGCATCCGCTTCCATCTTTCTCCTCCTGCGTCTTCTGAGCTCGCGTCTTACCTGTCGGCTCCCACGCGTGGCAGTTCGGGCGCTGCCGGGGCGTGTGTAGCTTTTGTCAGCCGCGCGGGAAATCTTGAAAAAAGACGAGGAGGCTCATTGGCGGCCACCGTGGCAGCTCGAGAGGAAGCCCGTCTCCTGCAGACCCGCAGGCAAGTGGGGGCTCAGCGGGCGCAGACCGCCTCAGGGACGCCCTGGGTTCTGGGCCCTCCCACGTCCCGCCACCGCCCCGTGGCGCCCAGCGCCCGCTGCCCCTGGAGGCCTGTGCCGGGCGGACCTACGGGTGAGGTGGGGCGCACTCACCGCGTCCCTGTGTCTGGTGTCCCAGCACGGACACTGGCTCCTCGTGGGGGCCTGCGGTGGGTGGGGGTGAGTGCCAGGCTGTCCGGAGCCAGGGGCCCAGAAGGTCAGGGAGGAACGGACGGGGTGTTGGAAGGGTTTCTCGGCGTGGGGGGCAGAGGCTGCAGCCCCCGCCAACGTGCTGAGGGTCTGGGAGAGGCTCTG